GAGTCCTGAATGAAAGTCAATCAAGCACATGCTCGCGCTGATTTTTAACGCACCCAGCCGCCGACCGAAACTGCGCATAGAATGACAACGATCGGCACAAACTACGAAAATCTACAAAAGAACAAGCCAAACCAGCGTTTGAAACAAGCAAAAGCAAAGAGCATGCGGTACCTAAGGGTAGAACAGCATAAGAGCAGTTGTGCTACCAACAGTCACGCTCGGAATACCAGCATGCAAGAAGCGCATCACCGTCATTGTCCTCAGCATCATCGCCATCGTTCTCATCTGTGTGGGGAGGGGGGTGGGGGGGGGGGCACGATTTTGCGCCAGAGTTCCGAAAGAACGTCGACAGTGATGACGCGGACGAGCACCATCCCCGTCAATGTTTGCTCGCATAAGAGGCCTGGCTCGGCTGCTGTGGAGAGGGCATCATCTGGGGTGGGAGGGCCACTGACGCGGCGACGCGGGACCATATATATATATATATATATATGTGTGTGTGTGTGTGTGTGCGTGTGTCTGTCTCCATGTACGTAGGCATGCATGCACGCACGTAAGGATGATGAATGTCTCCATGTGAAAGCATGGATGTATGGACTGCTTGTGTTGTGGGCGCTGCTGCTGCTGCTTATGCCTTCTTGTTGCTTACAGGTTGTTGGCTCCTTTTCGTTTCTGCTACGCTCACTGTTAGTCACCATTACTGTTGGTGTAGCTGTTGGTGTTCTTGGCTTTCGCTATAAGTTTCGTTTCTCGGTTGGTTCCGACCGTCCAGGCTCTAACTTTTCTGAGTCTCACCCACTCTTCACTGCTCACTGTACTCACTGCGCTGAGCGACGGGACGGTCATGGGTGATGATGCTGGCGATTTTAGTAATGATGTTGTTGTTGCTGCTGTAGTTTGTCTTGGACTGCGGTAGTGGTCGGATGAGGAGGCTTGCTTGTGGAAGGACAAACAGCAAACGTCGGGAGCGAGCCGAGCGTGCAGGCGGCCTCTGGAGTCAGCTCGTTTGCGTGTTTCTGGATGTGCAGCTTGGAGATCATGAGTCTTAGGCGCATCATGCTACAGTAGTAAGTAGTAATAGGGACTGTACAACTTCAACATCCAGCGACGATCGAGTCATCCAGCATGGAGCCATACTCGGCATGCTTTCATTGCAAAGAGAGAAGGGTATCAGCTCTGAGTAGCAGATGTGAACAGTACACCGCAAGGAGAAGCAGGCCGAACGAAAGAGGTCTCCGGACCCTCACTTCCGGAGACGAGTGCTTTTTCTGTGCGGCAGCGAACCCACTCCACAAAAGCCAGTCACTATAAGCCCCGGAGCACTGCGACTTTACAGCAGACACTTGCAGACATTGTTTTTGCCGTCACGGCCAGATTCCATGCACGACCGCGAAAAAACAGGTCGCGGAGCTGCCTCATCTGCTGCGTCGAACACGAAAGCTGACTGCTCAGGGTCCGAATTTGTGCAAATCCAAGGCACCGCGTCTGGCATTCTCATTGCGATTGCTGTCGGTAAGAAGCTTAATAAGCATGATCGCGAGAGGGATGCATCTTTCTGGCGCTGAGGCATCTTTGTGAGCATGGGGAGTGTCAAAGAGACGCCCTTTGGCAGTGCACCGATTGCTCTGCGCTCTCAGATGGCTCTTTGTTTGTGCTGCACTGGCTCCTCTGCGGCAAGCGGCATACATTAGATCATGCTTGGAATGGTAAGCGACCTCAAAGTTCTGAGCGAAGTATTTCAGATCTTGGTAATTAGACAGACACGGAAGACCAGATGTGAAGAAGAGAAGAAGACATCCTCGGCATAAAGACGCTGTCGACACGCATCGGCTGCAGATGCTTCAGATAACCCGAATCCAGCATTTCCCATCTCAATGCCCGAAGCTGGGGGGAGCATCGTTTCACCCAGAAGAAGGGCGCTCTAAGTGAACGCCGTGCATCTTCTGCTTAATCCTTTGCTTCTCAGCATCCCGAGCATTCGACTCCTGTCGCCCAGAGGAAGAAGTCTGGATTTGGAAGTCCTGCATTCCATTTTCCTAGGCTGGCATATTCCCTGCATGGAGCCTCCCCGAAAGCGGCTGAAGGAAAGCTAGGAAGCAAGGGCAATGTAGGAAGAACGTTGGATGCCACAGACACTTGAGCATGGGTTGCCGTCACTCCGCGATGTGGATGCGTTTCGGAAAATTGCGTGCAGGCCCCTTTGTGTGGCAGCTATCCTGCAGCATGTCGGCAGCACGTGTGACACAGACTTGTCTACACTTCGCACTACATCATGCGTGAGTATAACAGGCTTAGGTGGCAGCCGGCATGATACTTCGACGCTCATGCGGTTGGAGACGGTATTGTCGCAGAAGAACAGTTACACGCTTCGCACCACACCAGGGGCTATGCTCCCCAACCAGCGAACTCCAGCAAGAAGTGCATGAGACTGTCGAAGGGCTTTGCGTGGTCCATTGGGCACCTGTCCGTTTCACAAAGGCGGGCTGCACTCGTACTAGCTGTTGCCAATCACTTTCCACGAGACCACTCTGTCAAAGCAAGGTTATATGTGAACTTCCATTATTAGATCTCGCCCGGTGAGAGGATTCTAGGACAGTGTCCTTTGTCGGCAAATGCGCTTGGCACTGACTATGCTGTCTTTCATCTATCAAACGCTATGCATCGGTACCTCTAACGTCATCATGATGTCATCATGCATGTGCCTCGCGCCCCGGTTCAGGCGAACGTGCATGAAATCTGTGCAGCCTCTCGCAACTTGGCTGCTGTGTACATGGTTTCCAAAGTAGACAGTCGGAAACCTACATGCGCCTGCCAAGCCGAGGTCGCTTCATGTTGACAGCGCCCCCTCCGGCTCCTCCATCCTTTCCGTTGCCACCACCACCAGCACCAGGGCCCCTACCACCTCCCCCCACTGCGACCCCTGCAGCCCCAACACCCGCCCCACCAGCCCCGTCGGCACCAGTACAAGCTCCACCTCAGGACCTTCTTGTGCTAGTCTCTGTTCCAGATGGTCATGGCTTTGGCCTCTTGCTGTGCAGTTGCCGACTTGCCGAAACACATTTCTTGAAGTTAGCCTGCAAAGAGTAATTGGCATGATGATGGAAAGGACACTGCAGGTTTGGCTCAGGGTGCTGCAGAACCTAATTGGATACTGGAATCCAGCTGAACGAAGCAAGCCTACCAAGAACCTTGCGAGACCAAGCATTGCGTCCGAGTTCGTCAGTTTGCTCCTAGCATAGGCCCTGGCCACGTGCCCCAATGGCGCGCAGATTCTCTTTGCCAGCAACCTTCAGTCCCACAGTGGACGATCCTGCAGTCAGAGCTACCACGCTATATATGCATCTGTACTGCAATTTGCGGAGGTGTCATGCTGCCACCAGCTAATGCTTCGTTCTTCGAACTACCGTATGTGCACCAAGGATATGCAGCGTCGGCATGGTTGTCGCAAACAAGGACACAGTGGCGAGTGAAGCTGTGTGCAAGACCCACGGAGCTCAGCTTTGAAATCCGTGACTGCGAAGTACGGTAAGATCGCTGTGACAGTGGCTGGCAGATACTGAACGGAGTAGTCGACAGCTGTCGGGTGTGGAAGTCTGGACGATAAATGTGCGTGCAAAGTTCCTGGCCAGGAAGCAGCTACCAGGCTTCAGGCTGGAACTATCTTACTAGCAATGCAGCAACTAGCAACCATCCTCGTGGCCTGCGCCACTTGTCGCAAAGATGAGTCATGCTCATGGGCCTTAGAAAGCTCAGAGAGTTGTTGCCGAAAATCGCCTCTGGACCTTAGGTTCTTCACATACTCGGCAGCAAGGAGATCCGTGGAAACATGCAGCTTCGGTACAAAGGATGTGTTTTGTCTCTTCAACACTGCACGTGCTGAAGAGCTTCGGGTCAGAGCCTTTCTGCATTTGCCTGGGTCCTAGCCCTCCCGAGGCACGAGGTGATACGGTGGTCGCCCATCGCGGTCTTGTCAGGCTTGATTTTATGGACCGGCATGCAGGCCCTGCACCTCGGCTACTATTACCGACCACCGGCGTTGTTACAGTGAGGTGACAATCCTGACCAGTTACCAGGAGCTTGTGCCAGACCGCACCACCTTGCCAGAAGGGGTGGCACAGATGTCACAGAAACCGCATGCTTGCGAATTTAAGGATGTATGCATCGCTCTCTACCTTGACAGTCATCCGGAATGCCAGCCCTCTAATTCTTTTGGGAGCAGAGCGGCTGATGTTCGGCGTCCCGATCACGAAGGATGCCATCATATCCTTGACCACGATCTTGATAGGCACGGGTTGTGTGCAACTTTCTACGTCATGAGCACGTGGGGAGGGCTGGCAAAATTCGTCCTGTTCCAGCCTGCGGCAGCCTGCGAGGTGTCGTCATCTACTGTTCAGATGACATCTCGACTAAGGACAGAAGGTTTTCTGCAGAAATGATGCCAGCCACGATAGACCCCGCAAACTTTCAGCGAGCTCGGATCGGGTCCCCTCATGCGAGGAAGCCCTCGGGATCTTTCTGGTGGTCGTAGACGCAGCCTTCGTGTGCTTGGATCGTTTGGCGCAGCGCTACCTACTCCAGGACCAGCATGGGGGTCCTAGATCAGTCTGTAGCAGAAGCCTTAATCGCTTCCCCCTTTTACTAAACACCCCCCCAATAATAAAAACACATTGGAGCGAATCCTCCCGAAGTCATCCCTGCCCTTCTGAATTATGTAGGGGGAGGTCTCGAGGCTCCAAATACCCTTTGAGCACTGTAAGAGCGAAAGCAAGAGCAGGAGATAGAGCAAGAGCAAAAGCAAAAGCGGTAGCATCAGCGAGAGCAGCAGCAACAGTCAAGCAAAAGCAACAGCGGGAGTAAGAGCAAGAGCAAAAGCCAGTGAGGGAGCAAGAGCAGGAGCAAGAGCACGACCCTTCAAAAGTGGCAGTAGAGATAAAAATACATCCTAATACTTAATAATACAAATACTTTCCGGATTTCTATTGGTGGCCCCCCCGCAGTTGACTGTTAGGGGGAAGGCATTACGCCGTAAGACACCTCTTTGACAGAGGCGCATGCCCTGCCCTGCTTGCGCACGCAATTTCCGCAGAGCTTGTCAACTGCAGATTGCCGAAGACCGCACGTAGAGCCCCTGATGCCAGGAGATGCCAGTGTCCCTCTCCTCTTCGGTGACCATGCCGCACATGTGCAGAGCGTCTTGTAAAGACTACGCTGACTACACTACATAATGATTGTGCCAGCATGGGCCCCAAGCCCTCACTTCACACCTGCACTGTGGAAGACCAGGCAGCACTAAAGGTCCAAGATGCTGTCGGTCAAAGAAGCTGCGAGCATAAGCATGAAAAGAGCACGAAGCCGAGCTCATCCAGACTGCAAGTTGCCAAAGCTGCTGCGGTTACTTGATGTTACTTGTAGATGTTCAGCAAGACGGGCCAAGTGAACCGATAACTCCGAGTCGAACTTGCTGAAAACCATTGAAACACGCAGGGGTTGAGAGAAACCTCGTACAGCAGAGGCCTTGGTCCTTGTGTCCAACGCTGTGGGCCTCCTTTTCTCCTTTGCGCTGCTTTTCTACCCCATGCACACGGAGCTCCATGAGGCCAGAGGCTTTAGAAAGTCGTTCTGACTGAATCCATGTGTGGCTGCATAATGTAATGCAGAACGCAGAGACTGACAAGATGGCCACGACCTCTGCTGCGCAGGTCGAGTGGACTCCAGCAGGAATTTCATGGTCCATCGCCTCTTGCATTGGAGGCAGTCGCAGTTCTCAGCTGGAAAAGCCCGCATAAGCACTAGGACATCAGACGGCATTGGCCTTGCGACAGAGCATGAAGGGCCAAAACGAAGCTGAAGCATTGCGTCATCACGGATGATTTAGAAGTACCGGTAAGGCACCTGCAATGAAGCAGTTCCACGACGGCGAAGCACATCGAAGCACAGAACATGTTCCACGTGCCATTTGTATCAGGTGCGGCCATCGCCTACGCGGGCATTGGTTTGTCGCGCAATCTTAGCGCGACTGCTGCACTCGTGGTCACAAACATAGATGCCTGGCCAAAACAATGCGTAATGCCGCTGTGAAGGTACGCTTTCGCGGTACTGGGCACAGTAGCTCTACCCTTCAACTTTACATGACAGGTGTGTTTGGCCTGTTGCTCGTACTTTGGAAGCTTGCATCGTGTGCGGCATCCAAGGACAAAGTGCTAGTACTTTGCTATGGTGTAATGATGCAACTTAGCTGAATGCTTTGGCTGTGAGGCCTTGTGCATAACGTTGCAGTCCTGCCATGATACAGGTTGGGGGATCACTTTGACTCAACGAAGTTGTGCGGATGCACCTTCGCCCTTGTCGGAGGCTGCCCGCAATTTGGCCGTCCTCGTACGTTACATAAAGTACTGAATACATGCCGTAAGCCAGAAGGCTATGCTTGCACATAGCACCGCAATGGAAGTGGCCTCCACTGATCTCGCAGAATTCCTTGCCTCCCGACAGCTGCAAGATGTGCATGCCAAGCATTGCGAATCCAGAGTCTTACTTTGCCTCCCACGCCGTCACTGCTCCGATACGGAATGCCTTCACTCCGAGCATAGTCAGACGTCGGTACAGGTACTTGGCATGCGTGGGGTCGACTACGCGCCGGAGAGGAGAAGAAGCAGGAATTGAAGACGGCACCTTGCCAAACAGAGAGCCCAACTGCGAGAATTCCAATCTCAGCATGTGCAAGACTGATGATGACCAAGGGCCCCTTGAGCGAAGAGCTCTCTCCAGCCGGCGAAGACTCTCAAATGCAAGATCTTTGCATATCACAGACCCAAAAAGGATGGAAAAAGTGCACAGCCTTTTTCGACTCCTTCTCTTGATGTCTTTCTACTGCTTGTGACAAGTGGTATCCCCAAGGCATGCGCATACTCGTTTGATGCAGATCTTTGCCGTCGGTTTCAAGTATCTGTGCGCCCAGGAAATGAATAGCTTCTGCTGAGATGCAGAGGCACAGTCTTCTGTGACGCAGCTACGCGCTGCAACCTACATGTCCTTATTTGCTCTTCAGGGCCCACAGGTTCGAAGGGAGCTGGCAGCCTGTGAAGAGATGTGACGCAGAAAGCAGATGATTCGAGGATGACTCGTACTTCAAGGGCCCTGAATGTGCACTGCATCAGCCTGTTCCGGTCTTATGCATGAAGTAGCTGATAGATTATCCCTCCCTTTTCTGGCTGTGCAGAGCCGGAGAAGTCCCGATCACAAGCCTTGGTTGAGACAGACTCGGGAATGTGCCATACTCGCCCCTTCTTCTTACGTGTTCTTGCTCATGTGAGATGTCTGAAAAAGCCTTAGGCTCATAGATCAGCGTCTAGACGGACTCCTAGCTTCAGGGGACCACAGTAGTGGCAGCCGAGTGCTCAATGAAATTCACATTTGCAGCCGCAGCATTCACAGAGGAGCCGGACAGGCTTCCTCTGAAAGTCATGTGGGGGAAGCCCAGACCTTACAAAGCGTCATTGTGTTTTGCTGGCACGCTTTGCAAAGGTAGCCAAGAGTCGTAATCGCAGTGTGACTTAACTTGCCGTCGAAACAGAGCTGGCCGCCGAAATGTGGAATTCGGAAGTACAGTTGCATCTGACTTCAGCTGCCGTGACCGCGACATGTGTGGTTTTGAAATCCTGCCCGGCCCCAGAATAGAAGGGGCCATTGTCGGCAGCTTCAGCAAAATGGCTGAATTATAGCCCAGCGCTAGACATGAGTTCACAGTGTGTGTTCGAACACATGGTGCCCCTGTGAAGGTAGTTCGCTTTAGAAAGTACGTGTTGGTGAAGTGGTCAATGCCCTTGACTCTTGTCGGAGCTCTAAATGTGACTCCTCGTGGATGCTGGCTTACGGTTCGCACACCGGAGGCATGCCCCGACAGGAGTGTACTTCTATGCAGCGATGGAATAGCTTCGACTCCTACCCTGAACCGTGTGGGTAGTCGAAGCTTATCCCTTCTTGCATCACTCTGGCTTGTGCAAGTGCTCTCATGCTCTCATCACTTCTTGCAGCTGTTCTCGAAGATGTTAAATAATCGCGCAAGCCAGTTGCCATGGAAGCCTTTTGAAGACAGGAAACAGTCGAGGAATCGAATTGCGGGAGAATAGGAAACCGTCGAGGCGAGGAGTCGAATTGCGTGAAGATGCCCACATCAGCGCATTCGTCTGCTAAGGCAGACTGGACGGATAGGAGGAAAAATCAGATCGCATTTGATCACATAGCCACTTAGTACTTCGATGTGGGAGATCCGTCAAATTTAGTGTGACTTTCTCAAAGTCAGCTCGAGCTCGATGGGCTGACCATGGCTGATGCCTTCTTACTCTCTTACAGACCTTTAACTGAGACTTCGTGGAGGAAGCGAATGCAAAAAAAAGCGAGCTCGGCTCAAACCTGTGGCATCTTCAAGCGCGCTTGGCACTTGCTGGAGTTCAGGCTCAGCCTGAGACAGGCCGCACGACTGGCGGAAAGATCGCGCAAGATTTGCTGGTTGTGGCAACAGCGCCAGGACCCTTATCGCGAAGCACTGCAGAGAAAGTTGGCAGATGTCCGGCCCTTGGGTGGTGTGGAACTGGGGTCGTGCCAGGCATCCAATGGAACTCGAACTCATGCCCAACCCAAGCATCACTGAGCAGTCAATCAACTGATGGTTGCGACCGCCTGCCCAGCTTCTACGGCGATCAGCTACACCCGGAAAAGGGCAAGTTCTCCGTCTCAGAATGTAGAAGAGGCATGACAACACCTGTAGGAGCACAGACCTGATCAAGAGCCTTGCAAGCGATGAAGATCACGAGCCTAGATCTCGAGTGACTACGGGTCAATAATCATGATAGTAAGACCGCAGTCAGAACTGGAGAACACCTCGTAAAGCTTCGTCCAGACACATGTTTGTAGCTTGACCTTGAACGTGGGACAGGCAATAGCTCCGTCCGTCAAATCCAGGAGATCATTCAGCGACTCGCCAATTCACTGCGACGAGGTTGGCTGCTCGCTGACGCGCGAGAAGAGAAAGAAAGGGGAGTGGATAGGGCCACACAGCCGTAACAAGCAAGCAAGACCTGCAGGTAAACAGCACGAAAGAAGAATAGACAGACAGAGGCGACTTGTTGTGTCCTTCCTCAACCGTGGTCCGAGCAGGAGACATGCACACGCACACGGAGCGCAGTGTGAGCATGTGTGTGTGTGTGTGTGTGTGTTTGTTTGGTTGCCTGCCTGTTTGCCCGTCTGTCTGAGTTCTTCAGCCGTAAGTTGTTTTGGATGTTTCAGGCACAAGACTCGATAACACCGACACAAAGTCTTTTGGCTCGAGGGCTTTCCTACTTTGTTACTGCTGCTCTTTTGAATCCGGTAGCTTTCGCAACGTTGTGGGGAAATACACAAGATTCGATCCTTTTTGCGTTCTCTGAGTTGCCACATTTCGGTCACTGTGGAAGTTGGACTGCTCAGTGGCAGGACAGCTATTGTCACTGCATGCTTGGATGAAGAAGTGAGCTCATTAAAGCTTCGGGTACAGCGCCGCGCTTGCTGCAATTCTTGGGAATGGATGCGTCGTGACTTGGGGTGAAGCTGTGCGTGGTGGTGGTAGCAGTGCTGTGCAGCATCAGCCTCTCACGACGTTATTACTGCCACTCTTGGCGACGGATCTGTTGTGGCCTGAGGGCACGGGGCAAGAGAAGGGTAGGGGGGCCGCCTCCTACCCGAGTCATGTTGGGGTGGCTCCTTTACCTTTGCAGCAGTTGCCGTGTATATTGCCGGCCTTATTCAGCGCCACGCACCGAAACAAGAAGCTCGCTCTTCTCAGGTGGCCATCGCCCGCAAGATCTCTTTAGCTTGAGGCTCTGAGTGCATGCAGATCTCCTGCTGCAGCCCCGTGTTAACCAATTTGTTTTTCCACGTTCAGACACGGAAGCGGGTGTCAGCATTTGCTGTGCAGATGGGGGATCTGCCGTGCTGCAGAAGCTGAGGCAAGCTCGATGCAGATGGCAGTGGCCGGCTGTCTCGGCAGGAGTGCTCTCCTGAGTTAATTACTGAGCAGTGGCAGCATGAGCACTTCTTTGTCCGGCCAGCATGTGACACCGACATTCAGGTCATGAAACTGGCGTGCCTGATTCCTCATGCGTGGGATTGCCCTGTCATCCCAGGCTGCTAAGCATCATCCTCCGCTTCGAGCCAGGCAGGCCAAGTAGCAGGGGAGGGCAGGGCAGGGCAAGACAGGGATTGCACAGCAGGGGAGCGCTGCAGCGGGCAGGGCAAGGGCAAGGGCACGGCAGAGCAGGGCAGGAGGAGCTTTACAAGAAAGCGCTTATTATCCTTCGCGATTAGCTGTCGAAAAGACTCATCTCCGCAGCAGCTACTCTTGCCACGACTATCAGGCCTTACGCCAACGGAGCAGGACGCCATCTTTCAGCGCTTTGACGCTGCCAGTGGCTAAGCTCTCGAAGGTTGTAGACCATGGCTCAGCCCTGCAACCCAGCATTCGAAATGCACTTTGCCCTAGCCACAGCCTGGAAAGCGTGGTTGATCTTTGTGTGTTGCGCTTGGGTCCAAGGACAACAGCGGCTGTGTTTCCTGGTCCGAGTTCTGGAACACGATTCAAGGTGGCAATTCTACTGCTGGGACAGGAGCTGCGAAAGAAGGTGTTGCTTTCTCCACCCAGATGCTTGCGCTAAGCGTATCTTTCGTTGACAGTGGCAGCAGAGTAGAAGCAGCAGGCCAGCATTGGAACCGGACCGAATGGATTCTATCGAACTATTCATTCAGGAGGGCAGCCGTCACTCCCCCAGACGCTGCCACCAACGACTCCGGGTGCTTTGCTTGCACCTTTGCAGCCGGGTCGACCCGTCCTGCTTTCAGGGACATGATTTTCCGCTTTGCATGGCATTGAACTTGCGAGAACAATGTAACCCTAAACCCTGAACCCTACACCCTAAGCCCTAAACCCTAAACCCCTAAACCTCTCTAGGAAGCTTCCACGGATGCCAAGTCGACTGAACTCTCCGTCAGCTCGCAGTGGAAGCTCCTGCAGCCTTGAACCTTGGACCCCATAATGACAGTGAGTTAATGTAAATGCAATATTTTACAGAACATGTATACTTGAAGGTTCATGGGACTTAGTAAGTACAGTTATAAGTATTTTAATTGGGGTTATAAGCAGTTATAAGTACAGTTACCCTTTATAACCATAGCTATTAAGTCCCATGAACCCCTAGGCGGCCTAGGTAGGTCATAGTCGATTATATAGCTTCACAAAATATGTTATAATTTATCATAGGTTAATGAGAGTCCACCAGGGAAGGGGAAGCCAGGCTTGGCTCCTTTCGCACCGGTCCGGGACTTGGTGCAGCGGTGGAACGGCCGCAGAAAGATGACGTAACAGAGTTCGGAAAGGAAGTTGTACTGCGGTCATCGTCAAGTCTTCAAGCTTCAAGAAGTTGAAGAGTTTGACGCATTTTGACAAAAACATCCATCTAGCACAGCAACTGTCAGCAGTTTGCCATTGTTTTTCCGGGGCTGTGATGCAGGAGCCCCTGAAGGCCTTGAGTTGGGCCTCTCCGAGAAGGGAGTGCCGTAACTTCGTCTGGACCCTGCAGAGAGCACAAGTAGAAAAAACTTTGGAGTCACTCTGGAGGCACAAACCGTGGGAGTCCAGGCAGGTGCCCTGGAGAGAACTTTGCACCCCCAGGCCTGGCAATAGCTTCGGTGATTCAATTGCATTGGCAGAGTACTTTATAGGCCTACTGCCACTTTCATGGTTCTCGGGAAGGGTTATGACGATATGTGGTGCAGGTTGTTGTAGTGAATCTGTTTGAACAAAAGTTTGGGGTTTAGGGCCATGTTGACATGTTTCGATCTCGCTGCCCTTGAGCCAGGCATCGGGATTGCCTTCGGGTCATCAGAGCGGAAAAGTGGCCGAATAGCTTGTGACTCCTGGCAGGAATTACAGCACCAGCGCGCAACGGCAGAGGCAGAAAGCAAGTACTGTAAGGCCTTAGCTTGGCTGTGCTCGCATGAACATATGGCAAGCCCCACTAGGAAGTCATTCGCCGCATCGCTGCCGCAATCGCGCGCAGCGGTCGCAGGCAGGACGCTATTCATTCCGTTTGTTCTGCTATGCTGCTACACTCACAGTTACATTTATCTACATAACCGACTGCCCAGGCCGCATGATTTCATCACGAGACTGGATGCCCGTGCTTCCACGCTTTCCAGATCAGAGCTCTGGCCTTTGCAACGCAGCAGATCACAGCTACTAGTACACAGACGCCTAGACACGCAGTCCGAGCGATGCAACACAGCAGTGCTTTGTTCCAAGAGTCTTGTCGCATTGTTCCCAAGGGTAGAACAGACGCTCTTCCGCTTGGAGCCCCCGCCTCAGCAGGATGAAAGCACCTTTGCAGAGTCAATGCAGCTTAGAACTAAAGATTCTCGGCACAACTCTGCAGATCAGGTTGTACACTTGAGCCACTGTCAGCAGAAATGAGCATGTAGGTGGACCTAACTACTTAAAGCTGACTTGTGCTCGAAGATGTTCACCATTCCATCGCGGAAGCTGAAGGCCAAACCTTGCTGGATACGAGCGCGAAGCCGTACTCGTCCGGCTGGGCCTCGATAGACGCTTCTTCAGCACTTTCGGGCCGTTACGAGCACCCTTTGGCTCATTGTGCCTGCCGCAAGTCAAGCTCTCACCTTCCGAGGAGGAAATGCGGTGGACTTCTTAGACTTCTGTCGAATTCTTGGAGGCCAGGAGGTATCGTCCTTGCTCCGGATATAGGAGCCTTCAGTAGACAGTGTTACCAAAGCGTTGCAGCTGGGCTGAGAAGTGCTTCTTCCCGTACCTGGCAAGATGTCCCATTTGTTGAGTAAAGCAGACTCGGCCACTCGTGCATTGTGGGTTTCAACTGCAACTTTCTATAGGTGATCTATCGATCACGATCGATCCCCGAGCTCCTTGGTAGCAGATTTGCCACACCTGGGAGATCCTGGGACCTTGTTGAAGTCAGGGTGAAGCACCAGACAGGAGTGAAACACATGACGGTGCTCTGATCTTAAGCTCTGCACCAGTCCCTAGTGGCCCTAGCGGCAGCTTTGTTTATTTTGCATTCCAGAACCCGAAAACACCGCCTAAATGCGCCTGAGGCGTCCTCCCTGCCGGAAGTGCCAGTTGGGCTGGCATCACAGGCGCCACTAAAGCCAACTCAATCTGCATAGCCACATGCGTGTCGGCACGAATGCACAAGCTTCTCTGCCGGTTGCCTCTGCAAACATGAAACATGCTGAGTCCACGAAGCTCTGCTGGCGAGAGGCTTTACTGGTCTGTCTGCGTGTGAGTGCTACAAGCCCGAAGCTCTCGAAAGAAAGCACTGCAAGTACCTCGGCCTTGGCTGTTACGTCGCCAGGAACTACTGCGGCAAGTTTCTTCAGAGCTGCAGCGGAATGGGGCCTTGCTCCGAGTGGCAGTGTCATGAGCCTTTGTTTGCATTGATTCTCTATTCTGCCTGGAACAGAGGCTTTGCTTGAAGAGACCTTTGTTTGCTGCAACGCTTGGTGACAGGTCGTTTGATCTACTGAGAATCCAGCACATGCGGCAGAAAGCTCTCGCTCCGACACCGGGTGGCTCAAGTCGAAGCTCGGCGCCTCCGGCGCCCTGCGGGCCGCCCCTCCACTTGGCCACAAGGTACGGGTTGTCGAAGCAGGCCGCGGACAGATGTTGCGTAGACAGAAGAGTTCTGGTTTGGGATTTGGCAGTGCCTGGGACGGCTGCTCCAAAGCTGTCTTTTGCAGCTTTGCGGATCTGCAGGAGGGTTTTATCCAACACCATTGCACATCAGCAATCGATCAAGCAACAGGGGCTCGGAATATGTAATTATCTGAAAGCCGATCATATGCAAGGCAACAAAAACACAGCACACTCCAGTCACTTCACAGACGCCTGAAGCATCCTGAACTCATAACTTGGATGGGCGATATCCCCTTGCAATGGGTAGCTGCTGTGCCTCTGCACCCATGGCCGATGGGACCTTGTCAACCTCTGAGCATCCAAAGGAAGGAGATCCCCTCTTAGCACCAAGCGTGCATTACTTGGAGTGCCTCGGCCAGCCACATAGCAGCTTTGAGTACTATGGCAGTCGGAGTTTAGATGGGGGTTTCCGAACATAGGGACCCTAATCTAGTACCTTCAATAGTAGGATCCTTATCATAGGGATCCCAAAATAAGGTCCCTTATTTCCAGAAACTCCCAGATCAGTTTTGGGAATCAAGGACCGGGTTCTGCGAGGAGCTCGAAGCCGCTGGCTTCAGCCGCGCCTCGCGCATCTGTGAACTTGAACAGCACGTGGTCCGTGCCAAGGGGGCCCAGGTGCTGTGCCCCAGGCTCCTGGCAGCATAAGCACGTGCAGAAGTACAGTAGCTGGTAACTAGCTGCAAGGCACATGCCGCTTGAAGACGGAAGTTGTTCGTTCATTTCCCAATGTCACGAGGAGATATTCCCGGACCCATCCAGACATATCCAGACATGCAGTGTCAAGGTCCACTATATCTGATTTTGCCACGGGTACAAACGTTCTGAATGACATCGACTGCGAAACGATTAAAGGTGAGACTGTCAGACTGTAGTTAGACTGTAGCTACCAATATGCGGGAAACGGCCACGGGTTCCAGAGTTTTCGAAGATCTTCCAGGGGAAAGCAGCAGCAATGATCACAGCGGCCAGGGATGGTCGTTTGGGGGCTGCCTTTGTGGACACATTGACCGGCTCCGAGCTTTGGCAGAGATGGTTTCTTATCCCTTGAGACGGCACTTTCTCTGACTCGGCCTTGCTTCTTGAGGACAATGTTGGGCATGCTACGCACATGCTCTCCTACACTTGGCAGTACACGGTGGACAGCATCATTGGATCCTTGAGTGCCTTCTGTCAACGGAAGAGCCTGATTCCCGAGCAGACCTATGCCCCTCGGGTTAGTTAGCTAGTTAGTTAGTTAGTTAGTTAGTTACTTAGTTTTATGATTACGTATAACACTCACCCTGCTCACTTGACATTCCGTTGGCGCAAGGTATGGATGTGCTTTATGGGAGTGAACCAGCATAGGATCCAGGACGCCCCGCGCTGAAGTCAGCATGGTGTCCACGAAACATGGGGTGCCAATCGTGTTGGCCCTGCGAAAGGAGTCGAGACTTGCTGGCTCCGATGTTCCGTTCGAACAGCTCGCTGCCACTTTTGGGGGTCGTGTGAGGAGCATAGGCAGCGCACCTGCACATGAGCAGACAACACATGTCCGATCCATCACACAGCGCGACGGAATTATTGGGCGGCATTGCACGCGACTTCTGCGTTTGTTCGAAGAACCATGGGTGAAGTCTCAGGTAAGGTGATAGCGCTGATGGAGCCGTGGAGAGCGCCCCGATATTGCCATAGAGCTTGGTGTGTCTTCGAGCTCCATACTGCTTCGGAGCAGCCCGAATCCTGGCCTTGAGATTGGAGTTCAGGTCGTAGCCCCATCCACACGGAAGTCTGGCGATGCGCACTCTCAAAGGAGTCTACCGTGCCTCGCCTCAGGACTGCACCCTAGAGATCGTCATGCCTCCTGCAGAGGTAGGATCGTTCATGGAGTTCCGACTCGTTGAAATCTTCCAACTTCAGCAACAGCGAAGAAGAGCTCGGGTGCAAGAGCCATCCTTACTGTCCAAGACCGCCATGATGTCGACAGGCAGAAAGCTATGCCCGGGCAATTTTCGAAGGCTCCGGTTTGCAGGAGTCGATGGCAACTGCATTGTGCATATTCTCTTGAGTGCCTTGCCTGATCGTTGGTAGGGAGTGTTTTCTTACTGCAGCTCTCTTTGCAGGAGCAGTGGCGGACCCTTGCCCAGACGCAGTTGCAGAAGGCCATCTCTCAAGTCCGCACCAACATTCCCGGGCAATTCCTCGGACGCTGTTCTTTTCGGGTGAGGTACTGGCAAGCAGTCCATTCGCAGAGAGAGAGAGAGAGACCCCGGAGAATAGAATAGAATAGAGAGAGAAAAAGAGAGAGAGAGGCTCACGTGGCCCCGAACCCAAACGCCCAGCAAGCAAGCAAGAGATGGCCTGCATTTTGCATTTTTCTCCTCTGGCACCCGCAACAGTCGGGGGCGCTAACGCGCGCGGTGTAGGGGGTTTCCCTCTGCACCACAGCCCTGGCGAAAGAAAGAGATGGCCTCAGCCCTGGCGAAAGAAAGAGAGGCCATCTAAAGGTGTCAAACAGACGGGGGATGCCCCTAGTTCCAGTCTTACGCCGACTGTGCGGCCACGGACGCCGGACGGACAAGTGCAGGCGGGGTGTCAGGTTTGACCGAGAGCTTGGGGGAGGTCTCCTCAAGCCTAAAGTGTTTCGCTAAAACGGCCGGGAGCCAGCAAATGACCTGCGTCCTCCTGTGAACCAAGCAACCGGCTGCGCGTTTCGCGCGGGAAGGACGCACCCAGACCTGGCTATCCCTGCTGCCCTTCTGGTGACTGCAAAAACCCGAAACACAGGAACTATGAAGCATACATCGCAGCTCATTTGCCAGGCGCAGGCCTCCGTCACCGAGGATCGGGATATGATCCTCCGCCTCGTGGAGCACAGCCCAGGATTCTCCGAGCTAAATCGCCCCCTGGCTAAGATCTGGTGTCAGCATGTAACAGATCAGACAGGTGACACTAGCTTCGCTGGATGTTTCATGATGCCGTGTCTGGTGTGTCTGCCACGACGGTGGCCAGCTCTGATGCCCGTGATTTTGGCGTTGCAGATTGTGGTGCTGGCCTCCTTTGAGCTGCCACTGGATCTTTCGAAACCTCACTAACTACGTACACTTGATGACGATGACATGATCAGGCACTTTGGCGGGCTTTTACACCTCGGGTCTACAAGCCCTAACCGCAACTCACACGTCCTTTCCGATCAACTTGGCCGCTGAGGCAGCGTGGTCCACAAGCTTCAGAGCTGGTTTGCAGACGTTGCCCATGTGCCCTTCCGGGCACTAGTTCTTCATTGTGCGGCGTTGCACCTTCAACCGTAACTGTTAGACTTGAGTTTCGCTTGTCTCCAATGGCCCAGGAGCAGATCCAGAGGCAGATGGAAAGCACCAGCTCAGCCGAGCTGGCAAAAGGTTGCCTTCAGGCGCGTGGTGGTGGGGGGTCACTGCGGTACACACTGAAGCACGCAGTTCCGAAATAGCAGAAGGGAACGGAACATCACCATGACTGCGTTCAACGAAGCTGCCACGAGTGCGGAAGACCATAGTCCTGTTGCCAACTCTGGCGTATCCAAATACTTCCGAAGTGGTACTCAACCTAGACTCGACGGGCCTAGAAGATCGTCGCTGCGCATACAAATATATCATTCTCACTGTTGCTTCAGCAGAGATTCTGGACGAAATGGCAATACAGGCAGTGGTCCCACCCCTGAGCGACGCACACATTGCGTTTGCCCTGTGAACGGCGGGGCTTTTAACATAAGCTTGTTCGCACGTTGATGACCACTACTCGTACTCTAAGCGGGCATGCCTTCCTCGCAACGCGTCCACTCCCACAGCCAGTACATCCGAGCGCGTGTGGGCACACAGGCGTGCACGCGCCCGCGGTTGTCTGTACACTAGCTTAGCTACTGGGTAGATTGATAGATAGATCGCTTGGGGGTTCAGTGTGCTCCATCGAGGTGGCGGAGCTCTTCCGATCCCTGGGCAACCTCGATACTGCGGACGGGTTGCTGCGGCGTCTTGACCCATCCTGGTCTTAAATCTAGTTTCAGTCAAAAGACTGTGTAGTTCAATTTCATATAAACCTGAGCCGTACATAAAAAAAGAGCTGTGTAGGGATGTGTGGGGCCCGTTATTTCGCTCAGGAAACGTTCATCTAGACCTAGAAACCAGCAGAAGCATGCAGAAGCTGAAGGCAGCTCTTCGAAGGGTAGCATCGATGTCGCAAGCTGTGCACTTGAGGCGTGCCGCTGATGTGCTGCAAGCAAGCTGCGAGTCGGATACTTCTTTACGTGCTGCTCTGTTGAGTGCAAAGGGCCACGTGGCGCGAGCCGCTCGTTTCAGTTTCGGAAACAGGCTTCTGCAGGGAGACTCAACGCTGCCTTTACTAGTTGCAACTTCTTATCCTCGTGTCCTGCATTCTTATGAAAGGAACGTGGAGACCTGGACGAGGCGGCACGGCTGCTCTTCGAAGCATATGACATCTTACAAGAAGCTGGCAGCTTGGAGTCCATTGAAGCTGCACAGATCTGCACTCGGATTGGACCCTCAGCTGCACAGCGCTTGAGCATGTGAAGAATCTGCGTGATTCGTTAGACCAGGTATCAAAAACATTTGCTGGTGATGCCTTGTCTTCTTGACGGCAAGAGTGCTTTCGGGGGCTGAGGTCATGTGAAGCTGCAAAGCAGGGACCTAGAGGCGGCCGAGGCTTTCTTCAACCAGGCACCGGGGAATTATATGCGCAGTTCACAGGGGCATGAGGCAATCAGGAGCAACACGTCAGATCCTGCCAGGCTTTACAAGCCCACCAGGCCTGCAACACACTATCCAGCTACGATGGCGGCGCGCTGCTGCAGCTGCTCTGCTGGAGCAAGACCAAAGCATTCAGCTAGCTTTCCCTCTGTGTTGATCTCAGAGCATCTGGCGCTCGGTCCATGTGCATGAGGTCTCTTGGGCACATCCAGCGTGAGCGGCAAGACTTGCCTGGTGCCCTCGTCAGCTATGAGCAGGTCCTGCGCCTGAAACGAATGCATGCCACTGACCAGCTGATGCGCTGTGGTTTGTAAGTCTGCTGTGTTCGCGATGTTTTGAGCTGCTTTCGTAAGAGAAAATGTCTATCTTAGGCTCAGCCGGTTAGGTCATGCACGCATGCTTTGCAAGTGGCAGGCTCACCGGGTTCTTTGCACAAGCGAGCAGCTTGATTCTCCGCAGCATGCAGCTTTGTTGGCCAGCATCGGCCACATTCGCCGCCTGCAGCTTGACTTTCAAGGCGCTGGGATTGTCTTGTATCCAGTTTAATGTGGAAGAGCTCAAATCCCGAAGCTTGCCGCAGGAGCCCTGGAGCTTTACTCCGAATCGCGACAAGTCATGGAGGCTTGCCTGCACTTGGGTTGCCAGCTCGTCCGGAGGGGCGGTCCCAAAGATTCCCAAAGTGCAAGACACCTGCAACAAAATCACTGCGTCTCAGCCCACAAGAGGACTGTAGGGCTTGCTACCCGAGGAGTCGATTGGCACTTTCCAGACGGCACACGGTGCTGCTCTTCTAGTGAACGTCGGCCACGTGCTGCGCTCACAGGGTCAGCTGGACGCTGCTCTTGCTACGTACAAGGAAGCTCGAGACGTGTTCAAGGTCTCTGGGTCTTGGAATTCACCAGCGGCGCAAGAGTGCAAAAGTTTAATTGGCATGTTGGCAGCATAGCCGAATCCAAGTGGGGCGAGTGCCTGGCCAGAGCCGGGACTGCTTTTGGAGCCTATTTCCTGGCTCCAGAGAAAGGGCAAATTCATTTGGGATACGGCTCGAGAGCCCCGAACATTCTAGAAGTATAGATGCCACTGTCTCGCACAGCCTCTTGCACCAGCTTCCGCATTATGTTAACGAACATGGTCCCAAAGTGCATGTGACAAGCGCGTGCATGTGGGACACCAGTGTGCGTCTTCTACCATGGCACAATCAATTTCCGCAGAAGGCACAGCTGCATGCCTTGAACGAAGATGCACGTACAGAACGCTCGCAAAGAAGCTGTCAGGGCGAAGCTCTTGCAGCAGCGTGAGTCTGTCGAGATGCTTCTCCAAGAGAAGAAATGCCACTGGAAGCCGTCCAGTCTTGTCGCTGCAGATGTTGCTCAGGCATCGTGGATGCTGCACCTGCCCCGACTCAACCGATATTCCGAGAAGCCTCTATACTCTCCATGCCAGCAGGCCTAGTGGAATGGATACGGATGCAGTGTTCGTATCAATGGCGGTCAGAGGCTCAGCCGGAGGACCCTGTCCCGGGCCTTTTCCTGCAGCCTGAAGATTTGAGATGCCAAGCGTAGCATCGTGGGCCGTCGATGCGAGTCCCACACGGAAGCCATGCAATAAATCCAAGAGCCCCAGACCCCCAAAATCCCAGGCTGATGGGGCGCTTCGCGACTAGGGCTTCGCGAGCTGGGCAGCTGCGGTTCTTGCGCAGCCAGGCGCGGCAAGAGTCAGAGGGCACACGGGCCACCAAAACACGCATAACTGCCACTCTTTTACTTCGAAAGGATGCTGCTAGTTGAGAGAGTGTGGAAACCCCCAACAGCAGTATACAAGAAGGTTCAAGCCCAGATAACTCGAAAAGGTCTCGGCGCCTCGGTCGCGGCGCCCCACCGGGGCCGCAGGTAGTCCGTGGAGGCTGCGCGAGGCGGGCCCGGTGCTGGCAAACGATTGAAGAGGGTGGGGCTCGGGGCAGGCCAACTGTTGATGGTTTTTACTTTGCAGACCTTCGGTTTTCACACCCCTCCAATGGCCCCGACGAGTGGAAGAGATACTTTCAGAGTTTTGCAGGGGGCCGCTCCAGCAGAAACATTGCTGCAGCGACTCCGGAACTGGGGACACCAGCACTCCAAAGCCATTGGCTTTGGTGGGTACGCCCCGCGCTTAGGCATGAAGGGCTCCGCTGCCACTCGCAGCAAATGAGCGCAGGATCGTGCTTCTCATTCTCGTAAACACAATCACAGCGCTGTCAGCTAACCAGAATATACAATAAGTACAATGGACTTTAAATGACTATAGAATGTTAGAGTATACTATACTGTAGGCGAAACTCCACTTTCGGAGTTCGTACTCCGAGGTCCTGCTGACCGTTCAGTGGTGCATGGATGACGCACCTGCTCTGCACTGTGTCGGAGGTCGTACAGCATTCCCACACCTAACATGCATATGCAAAGAACCAGAGGAGTGCATCAAATAAACCATGCACATCCGACAGCAGATCCTGCGTTGCACCAGTGAAGATAAACAGGCCGGCAGAAGAGCCTTGCAGGAGTTGTGAAGCCGGCTGAGGTATTGCTGCTGCGTTGCTTTGGGGTGGCATGCGCTTCATCCATGGCGGTGTTCCTGCAACTCACCAAACATAGCAGCATCGGCTTTTGAGTAAGTGTCGTTCGCAGTTTTCTTTGGACGACAAAGGTTCTGCCAACCGGTTCCTTTGATGGTTCCGGTTCGCCCCACCCTTGGCTGGATGAATGTTTTTGTTCGGCCGATACGGCCAAGTTGACAAAACAGATGACGTGCGAGAGCCAAGGTTTCAATCTGTTGTTCATCGCGATCAATGCCTACCACATAGGCAAGATCTTAATGCACCGCCTGGGTCTCAGCAAATGTCCTACAGCCTTCTTGGGTTTACTTTCGAATCCCTGGCAGCCTAATGTCCAAGGACGTGACCTCAAGCTAGACGAGGTCGAACAGATGTTGTGGGATGCTGGCTTCAGCGAATTCCTGACCAAGGCTGATCTATTTAAGTTCATTCTCGAAGCATTCCTTAGCTGACAGACCTGGAGGTCGAGCTACGCGAGTTGCTCGCACAGGGGAAGCGATACAGTGCAGAGGAGGGCATGGCAGCTGCAGACACGCTTGACTTGGTGGGGCAGTTCCCTTTCTTTGACCTGCTAAGACCAACCCCCAGCATGCCCAAGCAGGTGAAATCCTCAGACCAAATACCTCAGCTGGCGCGTAGGGAGCCTGTCCGGCATCCCCCCGTGCTCGGATCTCCCTGTCCCCCCGTGCTCGGATCTCCCTGGCCAGGTCGTTGCGAAGGCCGGCATGCCTGTGGTGCAGAAAGTCATCGCACTGGCCAAAGGAGGACTACGCAACTGCCGAGTGACGGTCCGGTTTTGAACTGATCCCGAAGTCCCGATACCACTTCCTGACTATTCCGGGGCGACTGAGGTTCTGAGAATCTGTTTGATGCTTCCTGGAAGCGTGAACAGCGATTTGTGCGCGATCAACTGCTTGGTTCGCAGATGCCGGCCAAGCTAACCACAGTGGGTGTTGCAACACAGGTTCTGGACACACGCCTTGGCTGCCCAAGCACTCGCCATTCACAGGTGACCCAACTTAGTCCAAGCACAGTGGGGTTAGCCTGTGAAGCCACGTCGAAAGAGCAACTGACAAGCATATCCCTGAATATCTCGGAACCAAAGCCGGGCTAGCGGCAGATCTTAAAAGCTGCGTGCAGGAATCGTTCAGATGCAAGGAGGGAAAGCTATTGCAAGCATAGCGCCGGGCGCTCAAGCACTATCGGACTGCAGAGCGGTGATTCCACAACAGAGCGTTGTCATGCTTAGTCGTCGAGATGGCCGAACGGTTGAGGCCAGGGGACTTCTGGGGTGAGTTCCAGCTCGTGGAGCGAGCTCGCAACACTGGTGTGAAGCACAAGGCAGCGGATTCCAAACAGACTGCACAGATCTGCATAGTGAGGATCTCAGGAATCGCAAAAAGAAGCAGGCAGCTTTGCAGACACAGCGGAGACGTTGAAGACTGCAGAGATGCGTGCGGCATATTCCCAAGACACCTTTCCGCCAGGTAACGACCGTGTTTTCCAAGAAGCCTCTTGATGGCAAGCTGCAAGCTATTGAGCAGCTATTGGCAGGGAAAGTTAGCATAATATTTGTTGCCCAGCTGTCATGGCCTGAATTGAAGCAGCGCTGCTGGTGCGGTCTTCGTGCAATGCGTTGGCATGCTTGTCGACAACACCTGCCAAGTTCTATCGCGGTTGAATGGGATGCTGCCGAGCTGAACGAATACCTTTCCTCCAAGCCGGCGGCTGAGTCAACAAATGTCGAGGGCTCATGAGGGCTCCATTTCACACTGCCAAAAAAGATTCTGAGGCCAGCTTTGAAGCACAAGCTGCAGGCCATGGTGTCACAGCATTCCATCGAACAGCTTGCGTCGGAACATCGCCTCGCAGGAGCTCTTCGCGGAAGGGCTGAACTGGAAGTTCGATAGGCGCAGCTCAGATGTTCATGAGAAGACTTGAAAGACACGGCGACGATGACGACGGTTGCTTCTGCTGTGTTGCCGGTCCCGTGCAGGTTGTTGTGCAGCTGTAACACAGATGCCGCCGAGCGCGCCTATGTCGACATCCTTCGTGGCATCCTGCAGAAGCCTCGGTCATGAAATGCCAAAAGAAAGCTTCAAAATTTCACCCAGATGCCGTGCAGTTGTCAAGCTGCAGCAGTCGGCAACACTGGCCAACGAGCAGTCTTCAAAACTGTGCACCCTGCTTGTACTCCTTGTGATGGTTCATTGAGCGCACCGCAGTCGTTCAAGCGCCGAGGTGCAGTGAGCACGCCTCCATAGGCTCTCAGGGTTGGGCTTCGTCTTGTTAGCAAGTCATGCAAGTCCTCAGTGCTCTTCTGTGCAGAAGCGGCACTACCGACTGAGCAGAGACAGAACATGGGCTCATGCAAACGATGGAGAATTTTCAGATGCATTCATCGAATCATAGGCAGAACAAATGTAATCTCGTCATGGCTAGCAGCAATATATACTGTACTTTCGTTGCAGATCGCATGCAGAAAGCCTTTCGCTCCCGCAGCCCGCAGCCAGGAGAGACAGAGATGGCGTTCCTGAATCACGTGCGCCAGGTAAACGACATCCAGCATGATTGCTGGTGCCTCAGGCTTGGGGACAGAAGCTGACATGTTGCTGATGAGGCTTTCTGCCCCAGGACGCATGTGTGGCTTATGCCGGGTGGGAGGTGCACGATGATTGCCGAAGCCTGAAGGGGCCAAACGTGCACACCGAGGCCATCTTGGCGCGCTGGCAGAGCTTGGCTACTCTGAGAAGGACATGCCGCTCCAGAACGTCATCCGTGGCAATTCTTCGTGAAAAATGCCAGTTCAGAGAGACGATCACCATGCTCCCCCCATGTACAGGAGGGGATTCAGACGACATTCCAAGGTAAAAGCTCATCCTGGCAAACCTCCTCATCGTGCGTGCACGCATCACGAGAGACCTTGCGGTTGGCTATGTCCCCGACATTTGGACGGCCTTGCAGGAGTTCGCCGATATGGTTCGCAAAGGGCAAAGACCTTGGTTCCTCAGGTGGCTCAAACTCGGTCGCCTGACACTCAGCAAACCTGAACACATCTGAATCAACAGCTGCACGACTCTTCAGTGTGGTGTCCTTTGCTGAATTGGACCGAGGAAGCCGCAGCTCCCTGATGCGGTCCCAAGGCGGGCTTGTGGCATCGGAAAGGTCTGCGACATGGGGTTGGCCTGAGACGCGGCTCGCCAGGCTTGCAGCCTGAGCCGAAGTACAAGCGCTTCGAGCCTGTGAGCATCTCAGAGTCGGGCATCATATCATCACTATGGCGAGTTTCTCGATGCACCGAGGCCTTCCTGCCCGTGCAGACGCCCTGGTACTGGCCGGATCTAAACGTCCATCTAAGTGGACGTGACGAGTCCCAGTGGTCTGACCCTGCGCACAGGCAATCGTGTCTCCATGTTGCGGTGACTCAGTTTTTAAGTGAATTCTTTATTGAACACAGCCGATGTGATCGATGTGCTTGGCCGTGGGTATTGACGTGCAGTGGCTCGGAGGTCTGAGGAAGTGAAGCGACGAGTCTCCAATCCGAGCTTCGGCAAGCTGATCGAGGCCTTGGCCGACTTCACGTTCTGCCGTTGCACCGATCCGTTGTCATACCAGAAATCCTGTAGCCATCAAGAGGGGAGCTGGGCTGAGACAGAAATCGCTTTCTGAAGTTGGGCGTGGAGCCGAGCCACTGCCAGGAGCCGCTCAGCCCGTTAGGCTACGGACTGGACAATCGCGTACACGCTGAGAGCCCAGCATCTGAGAAGACTTAATTGAGTTCTGCGGTGAAGCTGGAGACTGAAGAAAGGTGTGGGCATGTTAAGCTGGACCACTTGGCCTGATGGTGCTGTCAGGCACGGGCTTTGTTTGCCAGCCGTCTAGTTTTGTTAAGACGTCAGCTGCAAGTGCTCCACTACGAGGCAGCGCAGGTATTGGTGACATCAAGCTTGCATGAGAACTTGCTAAATCCTGCTTCCGGTGTCTTCACACCAAGACGCCCAATTGAATTGCTTGCGGTTATCCTACAGGATCTACAGGCTTATTGTATGAAGATAGGGACCGACAAGTCAGCCACAACAGCAATCAGAATTGAGCTGAAAGGAAGACCGCACGTCGAAACGATTATGAGAAAGTTCACGTTCTTGGAAGGCTGCTAGGTGCCCGAAAAAGATTTCAACGGGCCGAGCGCCAATCCACCATTTGCTGAAACAGGCCACAACTAGCCATGGATAGCCCATGCAACTGTTGGATGAAGGGTCCAACTCTGTGCGAACTTCGCAGTTCATGAGCAGCCTGACTTGACAGAAGTGCCCCGCCGACTTGCCTCGACTGGCATAGCGTTGCTCTCCTTTCCAACACCGTTTCTTTTTTTGATTGTCGGCTGCCGACACACGAGCCGCATCTAGAGCCCGATTCTGCATAGAAGGAGAGGGTGTGCAAGCCTCATACAATCGTAGTGCTGATGCGGCTCATGTTGGATTGTACATGGTTTAGGCAGCCGAAGGTACGAGCAGAACTGCTGGGCTCCAGCAATGGAGTGCCCTCACACTGCTCGAATATATGTTCCGAGTAGCCATTTGCAAGTGCCCAACGTCGTGCACGCATGAGCTGTGCACGAACGTCGCCAAACGCAGCGCAAATAAAAAGGACGGATGCTTTCCGGAACAGAAGCAAGGTACTGGTAGCAAAGTTCCAAGTCAATCCATTCCACCTCTGTAGAGCGCCACAGAATAGCCTGCAGATGCTGTTACCGGGGAGTGTTCGCAGAGCTGCAACATGTCTACGGTCCGTCCATGCCTGCTGCAGTTTGCTTTAAACTGCCCATGCATACAGATTTTAATGCATCCTCGACACGGCTGGGGCCTTCATCACAAATCATACAAATTTCGCCGTCTCCCGAATATTATGGGTAATTGAACCATCCCAAAGGTCTCGACTCTTGTAAATGGCTACGGCAACCGAGAGCCGAGTGGCTTCCAGAACCATTCATGCTCACAAACCGTTCCTTACTCGGAAGGCCTGAAGAGATGCAACGAGAGAATGCGTTAGGGTCACTTTCTCAACTACATCATGTACTGATCATGTACTACATCCTCTCATCGAAAGATGTTACGAAAAGGTCTAGGGCTTGAAAAGGTCTACCAACGAAGTCATGCTCTGCTGAATCTGAATCGTTCTACGATGTTCTAAGTTTGCAGAAGACCTCCTAACCGTCCTAACCCAAGACAGGTTCCCGCGCAGTAAGGTTCTGGTGACGCGCTGTAAGGCCACCAGTCCTTCATACCTTCCTTTGTTCAGCCAATGGTACGTCGGGATCTTTGCACACACCATTGCATCCTGCACCTTGCACATTTCCCACACCTGTCAGCATCAAAGAACCACCGAGCTGACGTGTGCAACCAGGTGGATGCCTCGACGCTCTTCCGCAGCCTTGACATTAGTGGTGCGGAACCACCCATAGTTTGCTTCGAGATGAATGGAGAGCAGTGCAGGCCCACTCTCACTCCCTCCCTCCCTTGTGTCTCTCGCTCTCTCTCATCTTCCCCCCCCTCCTTCCCTCCCTCCGCTCTTTCTCATCTCCCTCCACTCTCTCTCTCTCTCTCTCTCTCTCTCTCGCACATGTCCTATCTCGTTTTTTCTGTCTCCCTGTTTCTCTGCGACATGGCATGCGGCTTTATGAAGACGGTTCGATCCTTGCTGCCGCAGCATTCTGTGACCCCGCGCACACTGCCGTAGCAGAAGGTTCAGAAACTTATGACGCTTCAAATAGGCCAAAGAAGAGCCGTGTCCGAAGCAACTTGCTGCCACCTGTTGACAAGAAGGGTACTGCGGCAGGCATATTACTATAGTCGATTATGGTCCTTTTTTTCGCAAGTACTGCCAACGAAAAGGTCGCAGAAAGCTGACGAATGAGACCTCTGATCGACGTAGTGATACATGAACGAAGCCTGCCGAAAGAAGTTGCTGATGACTCGGGATGCATCGAGATGCGCTGCCTGGCAACAGCTGCGCTGCTTGCGCTGGTGGTCCGAACCTCAGATGGCAAGACTACTTCGGAATTCTGAACCTTTTGGATTTGAGTTTGACCATCAACTTTGAAGTCCCTTTCCAGGTGTGCTTGGCAACGCTGCACCTGTGTTTGTTCACAGCCTGGTACTCTTTCGGCCGCAAGCTGTTCACGCGAAGGGAGAATGTCCACTTCAAGGAGACCCTCTGTGTTTAGTCTAGTAGCCTGAAGTCGGACACAGCTATTCAAAGAAAGCACTTCCCAAAAACCGAGCCGAGTGGGGCTGACCCTCGCTTAATCTGGCGAAGAAAGTAAGTAGTCGTGCATCGGGGCCGAGCCAATACTCTCCGACCTCCGAAGAGAAAGAATCGCTTGTGGCATGTCACGTCGGCATCCAGCAATTTGAACCAAGTTGAGGAAGGATGTCGGAGATAGCCACACTTCTTAACTCAAGGCTTCTACACTTGTACCGTATAGCAACTTCCCTTGCAAACGCAGGACATCCAGCTGGCCATTGAGATTGCAAGGGCCCGGACCCTGGCACAGAGCTTTTTTCTGCAATGCGTCAAGCTAGTTCAACTCGCATGGTCCTACGTAATCTGCCATGCAGAGGCAAGTTGCACGTGTTCCGGATGACGCTTGTGCAGTTGTATGGACATAGACAGCATTTACCAATTATCCATAATTATCCGAATGGATAGCGTGTTGCGTGCTGAGCTTTGTTGTCTGTGGCAAGAAGGCCTCCCCCATCCGGGACACAGAGGCGACGTCCAAGGACAGGAAGCTAGTCCGTCTTCGCTGCTTCTGTCGCCTTCCCGAAACTCCGACTCGATGCTAGGCACCTTGTCTGCATGCACCTGTAGCTTTGCGCAGGAGCGACGCTTGGCCCTTCTCTTCATGCTGCGGACACATTTGGTGGAGATAGAGGTTTGGCGAAGGCCAAGACTGGTCTGCAATGCAATGAGTACCCTGGGACGTAAAAATATCATGCAGAATCGTCTCTTCGCCGGGTGGACGTCCAGGTGGCTGCAGCCGCAAACTGACACGACAGGCGGACCAAGCAGTTGAATGTCCATGTATATTTCCGTCTGATTTTGGTCAGCCTTATTGCAACAATGCTGCTTGCACATCCTGATTGTCAAGGCGGCTCCGTCGATCAGCCTCGTGTTTCTCTGTATTTTCACGTGACCGACTTGCAGGCCGCAGGCCCGCCAAACCCTCCGCTCCCCTCGTTGACCCTCAAGCCCTCGACCCCTAAACTCTGCTCCATGAGTCGAGATTGTCGTGACGTGCATTGGTTGTCAATACAGGTAACCTGCTAGTTTTTTACCTGACCTTCAGAAAGCGCAACTAGGGTGTGGGACTTGGGTTTAGGTGTCAATACAGGTAACCTGCTAGCTTCAATTGACCTTCAGACGGCACAACTAGGGTGTGGGACTTGGGTTTAGGTCGTTTGCTGATGTGGAGGTCTGTTGTCGCATGGGCTGGTGAAAAGGGTTGTGCACTTGTCGTTGTCGTGTCATGAGCCGGTGTTTGCAGTTTCATCGTTGGACCAGTATCTCTGCAGACCTTGCCAGGCGTGTCCGAGAGTGAGAGTCAAAAAACCCAGCTCCTACCACTCGTAGCACAGAACCCGACTCTTCCTCTACAGGAGCAGAAGTTGCGCAAGCACTCCAGGCACGTTGGGCTCAACCCGGGAACCAGACTTAGAGGAACTCCCCAGCCGTGACCCCTCCAGGCGCTCCCCGGCACTCGGAAGATCCTCACTCCGGCCGGACCCCCAAGTTGGGATCCGAGTATCAGGGGAGGGCATTCTGGGTCCCCGTTTGGGAATCCTGATATTCAGGATGCCACAGTTTAGGCATCCGGATTCAAATCCGATTGTTAAGAGTCTCAATTTGAGAGCCTTCAAAGAATGATTAAGGGAGAACGTTTTTCGGGTTTGGGTTTGGGGGTTCAAGACCAGCAAGTCCGCAGCGAGCACCATCCCCTCACCGTGCCTCATGAAGCCGGATCAAGTAGATGTGCTCCCATCAAGACCCTTAGCTTTGTATCATCTCAAGGGAGATCTTCACGCAATATCACGCAATATTCCAAAGCTACAGCCGCAGCTACCCAGTACCAGTGATGTGCACACCTGTGAAGGTAGGCAGGTGGGCACGCCGGTGTGACGAATGTGCGCATGCATGAAATGAAAAGCATTCGTCCACACATCGTGCATAGCAGAGAAGAAGTTTGCTATACAACGTCAACGTGTTGTGGCGAACCCACAAGAGAAAAGGAGAAGGAAGAAGCATTTGCGTCCAGAAGAGACACTAATGTTAGGCCAAGAGCAAACGTCTGAGGGATTGAATCACCCGAGGTGGCGACTGGCTGGTGCGAGCTGATTGCTGCCGAGGCATTGCCGAAACTTGCTGTGTTTGCTGGGCATTTGCGGCCTACAACAAGCCGGCAGCAGAGCTTGAAAGCTTTATCTTGACGGTGCTGTGGGAAATAATCAGCATAGTTTCAAGGGTTCAAGGGGCTTTCTCATATCCACGCGTGCCCCTGGAACTCGCACTGAAGGTGGCATTGCTGCAAGTTGCTTTGCTCGACGATCCCACCGCCGAAATGTTTGTTCTGCTGCCACACGATGCTGGAGCCTTGGTGCAGGTTTGTCGAAACAGTCTGGTTGTGCTTAGACGTGGGAACTGGGAAGTCATGGCTTCTGCACGCATACCGCAGCATTTGCCCAAGTCCACTGGCAGTGGAAGAAGCTCTTTGCTAGCATGTGTTTTTTTATTCAGACGGACAGGCCGGGGTGCAAGATGAACATGCGGCTGCCGGTACGGCCAGTTGAGTTTGTTTTCTGTCGTGCTGCGATCTTCACAATCGTGCCGTGTTGCACAGTGCACGACTGCAGGGTCTGCATGGACAAAGCTTCCGCCAGCGCACTTCGTGGCGGAGTCGCCGCAGCCGTGGTCCAAGCCATCTGCGTTCCAGCCTTTATGTGGATGTGCCCCGGTCGGAAGAGCTGGTTCTTCCGAAAGATGGAAGGAAGCGCGTTGAGCTGCAGGGCTGTCGAGCGCTGTCAGAGTAGCAGGGCGTGCCCCAAGACGACTCAGAGAGGCTCATATTGTCCAGTCAAAAAGCCCGCATCATCCCTCATTCCAGGCGAACCGTGACGAACTACCAATACCGGCACGGTGGTCGAGTGTTAGATGTTGCTCGGAGATTATATGCAGAAGGTGGTCCACGTCGCTTTTACCGAGGTCGGCTCCTGTAGAAAGAATCGAACTTTGGTGGGGAAAGGGAGCAAGGTTTTGCAGTCCAGCAGCTTAGCAGCGTTCCTCGGTGCCGAATACCACGATGATCTGCTATCCGTGCTTGTTGAGTTCATGTTCAGACAGGTTGTCGCGCTTGCTTTGCTGGTCGCTGGGGATTTCATTGCTTTCAATACTTTGTTGGTTCCCTCGTTGCCTCGACATTTTGGTCTGCAGTCTGACTACGGACGTGTTGGTTGCATCTCACAGAAAGTGGCTCGGATCAACTCACCGAAAGCTGGGTCGAGTCGCAGACTCCGCTGGAGGCTCCAAGTGTAGAGGCCGCAAAGACCACCTTCACGACCTCATGGCAGGCGTCGTCCCTGCGCTGGTGCAATCACCAGTCCTACGATTCGGCAGCTTGAAATGTCTTGATTATACGTGAGGCTTTCCTGTCGCAGACATTTTGTGCTGCCAGTGGTTCTATGAACTGTACTGCAAGAGACTATTCGTGGGAAACTGAGGTGGTTTGGCAGTTAACGAAGGTCTTCTCTCAGCCACAGCTGCGATCTGAGAATCAGGGTGTGACGGTTGTTCCTATACGAACAAGAGCTCGAGGCGTCGAGTTAGCATCATGGGTTGAAGGGGCGCACCTAGAGCTTAACGTTGAAACTTCGGCCGTTCATCGCTGATCGGCGCACCTTTGTCAGCGACCTGCAGCTCTACCCACTACTCACCGAAGATGTCGTTCACGTGAGGCCAATTACTCCGTGTCTCATACGGCCACAGCAGCTTTGTCTTCTGCTGCGGCGACCGGTCTGAAGATACTCCTCATGCCGCTCGATGCATGGCAGACTGCTCCCAGGCTGCACTTTCCAGCAACAGACTTGAACTGATGCTGCTGGCACTCGTTCGCGAACGATCCTCCTTTGCATGGCTACGCCTGGCAGATTATAAACATGAATGCCAAAATCCTGTTCTGCGGACGTCGCTGTGTGCCGTTTTCCGTTTTCTTTGGCTTATTTGAGGCCAAGCAAGTGAATGGCCAGCAGGGCCTGGCCCTGCTGATGATCGAAGCTAAGAAGCGGCCCTTGAGCCTATGGAGGGGCACCGCAGGACCGACCTTGGCAAAAGTAACTCCCAGTTAAGAAGGGAGAGCCTTGAGTTTCTGTCACAGGTTTCAGTTGCTATAGAATACAGGGCCGGGTCACGGCACTGCAGTCGATCTCGAGCGCTGAGATGAGGATGTTTGACTGGGACCTGGGTTGCTCACTATGCATCTTTGTCAGAGTTGGGTAACATTTTACATTTTTATGGGTACGTAAACTCAATAAGGAATAGAAGCTTAAGGTTTTAAAACTACTCCAACAACCATGACTAGGCGTGGTGCTTCACCAACAACTATCTCCATGATGCTCTGCCGACTTCTGCCTTCGGTAACTCAGATATGGCGAGGTGCGGCAGCTGTTGTCGCTGCGGCTACAATATAGTATAACATATTACTGTGTAGTATAGTATAGTATGGCATGGTATGGTATAGTATGATAATGTATGATATGCCGGTCGTTATAAACATGATGATATAGCACAACACCATCCTCTATAGCGAAGTACTATATCACAAAGTATGACTCATGAGTATGACATAGGTAAATCAGTGCAAGATAACGATGTGACGTGTTTATGTAATGCAGTTTCTATGAAACCAGAACTCAAAGGTAGGAACAATAAGCACAATAATAAGAACAACAACAACAACAACAGCAATGCGGTGCAACAACAGCAATGCGGTACAATACTGTACAAAGCAGTACAACACAGTATAATATAATATAGTATACAGTATAGTATATATGATAGGTTTGCATAATAAATACGAAGCTGCACAACAAAAGAGCATATTTGTTATAGTATGAAATTGTTGTATATTGGTCTAAGTTCTATTGGTACTCCTTTGTATAATACACTACGTTATATTCCATTACATTGTCTTATAAGCTGCCTGTATCAAATTTTGCTATATGATATAACATTACTCGTCTGTTCTGTTGTATTAACACCAGCTAGTTTTGGCTCTGTATCAATATGATTGAATATGATTTTTAACCCGAATATCAACAGTAATGCTACTAGTAGAATTGACATGTATGCATACCCATGTTGCGATCAACACAAACCGCTTATAATGTAATATACTGTGTTGTATTGCAACAATAACTGATGACATTATTAGATGTAACAATAGTAAGTATATCGATAGTAATAACAGTAAACATGAAATGAATGAATGAATGAATGAATGAATGAATAGTTTAAACAACTTAATAATATGATAGCATGACGTCTCTCTATACATGTATATATATATATATGTATCATAGGGCAATACATTCTATCTATTTGTCACCCCATCATGTAGCAGATCAACTGTGGAATCTTAATCTAAGCAACAAATACTGGCTCGACGAATGGGTTCATACTGAACTATCTGCAAGATTTGTTCAACATTTTTGAGATCGACCGCAAATATCAAGTTGCTGAGTGCTGGCCACCGCAGGGGTGCCAGCATTGGCTTCATATCGAACGTGGCTGGCGATTGTTGCAGCAATTTTCTGCGAGCATCTTTGATTTGATTTCGACACTTGTGTTTGGCCGAGCGTAGCATGGTCACTTTAGCCGTCTTTGAGACCGCGCGTGTGCATCGATTCGGTTGGCCCGTCAGTGACCTGAGGTCTTGAAAGTAATCCGACAGACTGCTGGAGGCTCCATTTCCTACCACGACGCCGTGAAGGAGTTGCTGCAACGAGACGGAGTACGAGGCCTGCAACGTGCGAGTTCATGACGGGATTCGGGATTTCTTGCCCGGGAACAACCACAGTGTTGGCACATGTGCTTCACAGGTATAGCTCTTTTAAAGGATTTCTTTGCATACAGCTTCAGAGGAGGCATGACGAGCTGGGCACTGGCGCAGCTTGTCACATCATAGGTAGTGCTGAGCCTCGTCGCTCGCGCCCTCGCAGGGCTGTTCGGACGTGGCCTTCCGACCAAAGTGGCATCAAGTGGATTGCAAGGAGCTGCAAGGGACTCAGAAAATTCGCCGACAATTCAAGGATCGCCTCAAAAGCCTTTCGCATAGGCAGCTACTGTAAGCCACGGTGCAAAAGATTCTTTAGTGAGCTAGGGCGCAGCCAGCAAGCACTTCCGTGACAAGACCCGGCTACGCAGAGTCACAAACATGACATGATGTCGTCATCAGTCATCAGATGCGAGTACCGGCAATCCAACCGCATGAGCACGGCATTGTACTGCTTCACAAGGCTTTCCTCATCGGCTACGAAGCGGTGCTCAGAAGCATTGCCGTTTGAAAAGCAGTTGGACCAACAAAAGCTCTAGAGATGGCTGAGTAGCTTTCCGGCCTTGGCGAATTATGTCGAATGGACCGCTTCTACGCTAGACGGCATAAGACGGCTGGCCGCTCCTGTTCAAAGGGAAGGCAATCTGTCGCCGCCTCATGGAGCGGTAGCGTTTCACTTATCAGCTCTGTCCAAGTCAGGATGGAGTAGTATTTTCAATGGCCCTAAGCCCCAGATCAAAGCACATCGCACGCGGTATGCATGGGCTTTGACAGCTTTCAGCTTTGTGCCGTTCACCAATGTATTATCTAGGTATCTTTCGTCCTCGTGTTGATTTCGCTTGTTTCGTGATCTGCCCAATTTTGTGCAAACTTGCGGCTACTACTAGAGCCAGCAAGTCAGTTCGGGCGGCACATGTTCTGATCTATGTACAGCTTGTATATGCGGCTATGGGCTGCTGCATGGCACGCTTTTTTCTTGTGCCTCTTCCCTTCTTGGTATTGCTCTAGAGGTGCACAGATGGAATCGATCTCAATGTAGATGAAAATTTGGATGTGTGCTTTTGATGTACAGCATTCCACAGGACAAAGCCCTCGAGTTTGGAGGGCACCTGCAGGAAGGCCAGTGCAGAGAACAAGCTCTGCAACAAAATACAGGCCGAGGAGGCGTATGGAGTGCCGGCCTGCCCATGACGGGCCTGTACTTTCGGGTGATGAGAACCTTCCCAACCGCCGTTCCTGATAAAAGGGGATGTTTGTGGCAGAGGCCGGGCCTCGTTCGTTGTTGGCGACTCACGCAGGCAATGCACAATGGAGATTCTGGAACAAGTGCTTTTTCCAGGCCACACCACTCTGGCCTTTGCGTGCTGAACTTAGCTGAGATGGTGCCCTTGCAACTGACAAGTTGAAGCGTCCCCAGCAACGTATATTTTCCACGTGGGTTATCGCAGAGGTCACGTTGTGCCCGGCTCTTACAAAGGCGCTACTGCTTGAAGCACGAGAACCACCACACATGGAGACAGAAGGGACCACCATTCGATTGTCTAGCCAAAAGCGCAGTCTTCAGCTTGCACACAGTTCGGATACAGGAATGACTCAGGAGTGTGCTGCTCGATCACGATCACGAGCCCCTGCTCGAGTCTCAGCAAGAGACGCGAAGAGTCACAGTGGTCTGCCGAAGAGGGAGAGGGGCTGCCCCTCTCCCTCCTTTGCTGGTTCTCTCTCTCTCTCTCTCTCTCTCCCTCTCTCTCTCACTCACACACTCACACGCTCAAGGGAGGGAAGTCTACGAGTCTTGCCCGAAATTAAAAGCCCTCTGAGAACAGCCATAAGCCGTGAAAAACGCGCTACAGCGCGAGCACAGCCCACCGGCCATAACAGCTGAACGCCCCGTTTGGATAGCCCATACAGCGCCAGCACACGGCACGCCTGCCGCTTCGCAAACGTGACAGTCTGTGCAAACATCCACTAATTAGCTTCGCCTACTTCCGGCAGTGTCATTGTTCTCATCAAGGAACCGCTGCAGCTGACGCTCAAGGTCGCCTGCGGGAGCCACTCCTTGCAACTCTCGCACATCCTTCTCGCGCTTCAAGTCCCTCGCTCTCTCTCATCGCTGACTCACTCTCTCCCTATCTCTCTTGTCTCGCGAAACCTTAGGCTTTTCTGCACTCGCCACCACTTTGTGCGACTGACTAGGACTGTGGGACTGTAATCTTGTCGTTGCCTCCTGCATGTGGCTTGGGCCCTGTTGCTGCTTGGAATCGCCTCGAAGGTCGCGCATTTGCCCGGCTGGAGTGCGGGACCTCGAGGTGCCACACGGCTGCGCACATGGCATCTCGTTGGCAAGGTGTGCAGTTCCATCACTGGGCTGGGAACACTTAGAACTTAACCGAAATAGTGGAATGTTCAAGCACCGAGATCCACAGAGATCGCAGTAACAAGTATTGAGTAAGCATGGAACTGGCTTGCTGTTGGAGGGTCGTGGCGACTTGTCCACATGTGCACAATGTGCTCGATCAGCGTAGGCGTGTGTCCGGGAATAGCAAGAGATGCGCGTTGATCCATACTACCAAGACTGATGCTCATGTGGCAACCGATGAGTTAGTGTCAGTTCTTCGCCATAAAGTACGTGGAGGGAAGGGTGGGACCTCAAACTGTATGGAGGTTCGCAGGTGACGGTTTCGGCGAAGGCTTCAATGTTTTTCCACATGAGCGTAAAGCCGGCTACGAAGTGCAGGAGCCCCCGGAAGACCCTGTCGCATCGTGAAAGAAGCAGATGTTAGTTTTATTTGCGCAAAGTTTTGCGGAACTTACATGGCCTTGGGAGAAGATGCGCTTACATCGAGTGAGCACGAACCAGACCGATGCGAGCCATGGGTGGGCATCCACAAGCATGGAAACAAACTTAAAGCCGAAGAGCGAGGGTGCATGCACTGACCCTGGCACACCACAGCCTGGGGGAGCCAATGCCCTTGGCATGTCTGAGAGTCTGGAGGAGTTCGAGTTCCTTTGCCAAATAAGGCATTGAGCCGCACTGGGCCAGGCTCGTGCAGCTTTTGCATTAGACCAACTGCTCAGTGTTCACACTGTCTTGTGGGCCAGACTACTCCAGAAGTGAAAGGTCTCTGTTGCTGAAACACCATCAATGGCGAGGGGCCAAACTCATTTCTGCGTGCCGGGGCTCGTCGGCATTTTCGTCCAAGAGTTGACGATCAAGACTGCAGGCTGGCATTGACGAGACGGCATGCTCTTCGGGTCACCAGTGCTCGAGCTTTAGCAGCCGCGGATGCAATCTTCGAGTCCTCTTACCTCGGCGAACCGACACATGGCTGAAATTCAGTTAGGAGGTTGAGACCTGTTCAAGACACCGGGGAACAAGGTCTGTTATCGGAAGATGCTCAACCACTGCACCCTTCTCCAGCCCAGGTTATGCTCCGATGAAGTTCTGCCTTTGCTTACCTTGGCACTTGCGGAGGACTTCGGGCCATGGCCTTTGAGCCCAGAAGAAAAAGCCCCCGACAAGGAGCATCTTCCTGAGAACACGGCCATAGAGCTGCCTGGAACTTGGAGTATCATGGCAATAGGAACAATAATAACACTAATAGTAAGAATAATAATAAGTCATAGTAATTGTAGTAACAGTACATATAACGACAATGATAAGAATGACAAATATCGCAGCACCATTAATCAGAAGAAGAATAGTAGTAGTGATGATAATGAGTATAGATAGTATGGAAATTGTATATTGATAAAGTATGATAAAGTCATGGCTGCCTCTGACAGGTCGGACTTGGAACTCTACCAGAAGGCTACACACGGTCTTCAGGAATTCGAGGACGGCTTACGAGATCTTGGGGCACGAGCCGAATGCATATTGTGCCCCAGCACGGAAACAGGGAAACAGGAACTTAATTAGCTTTTAGCAGGTGCTGACTTTGTCTTGATCACCTGCTTCAGGGATCTTCTAAGCATAGAGGTTGAATGAGCGCCTGCAAAGAACTGCCCGTTTTGCATTCCTGTTGAAGGTACGCGCCTTGGCCGGGCTGTCTGGTGCTCAGAGCCGGCGGCGGCACAAAGCGCGGTGCATCCTCAGCTAGTTGTACGTAGACATCACGACTGCGAGAAAAGAAGGTGCTGCGGCAGACCAGGCGGACCTCAAGCGAGTCCGGCAGCCCGGGCAGGGGTCTGCTTGAAATTGCAAGAGTTCTTTATGGCTTGGCCTCTGGACTGACGAGAGAAGTGAGACGCAAGCGTGTCCCCATGTTTTGCAGCCGAGGCAAAGAGTCCCTTGCTTGGGGGAGGCCTGCTGCCGGCAGACCGTGATGCGCTGCTTCAGTCGCTGGCAGACCAGGGAGTCAACTTCTCAGAGAGTGTTTTGACTGGCTACCCCTCCACTCCACGGACAGACGCAAGAATCCAATCGCCACAAGAACTCGAGAAAAGTAAGCCTGCCGTTGGCACCAGGCGTCGTTGCACCAGTGTTCACCCTCTCCGGTTACTTCTTTTGCGGTGGACTTTTGCACGTAGGGCTTGACTTTCTGAGACTTCAATCTCTCGATCACTATCTACTTTGGCATCTGGTGCTGGCTTGCTTGTGCGAGGTCTTGTTTGCCCGCAAGTTGGGTACAGTTGGTGGGAACGTGACAGCCCACTTGGTCGGATGCCCGGTGTATCCCACTTGCAACATGGAGCTGAGCAATGCCATAGACACGACAGTCACAGCTTGCCTTTGCTAAGTCTACCGAGGCAATGCTCCAAGGCCTCGACTTTGTCAAGAGGCGGAATTCCTTCCCGCCTTTCTGTGTGGACGTCGCGTGAACTTAGGAAGCCCGCGTTTTGTCAGGCCGCCAAGGGCACCCCACCGCCTTTTCCCAATCTCTTTAGAGGACATCTTCTGGAGTGGCATACAAGGCATCACGAAACCACGTAGCACGCAGTACTTTCAGGAGCGGGGCGGCCCATTGGTGCTGGCAAGATGGTTCTTGGCCAGCCTGAAGGCGTGGACCTCCACGCACCTGCAAAGATCCATGGCAAGAACCCCTGCATACCGCCAGGCTCGAATACCCCCTGCTGCTATCGTGGTGATGTGCGGCTGCATTGCTGTGTTTTCAGGTCCTGCAGCTTGTGCTGACAAATTGCACGCAGTTCACTGCAGTTCGCATGCCACTGGCGACTGCCAGGACAGATGGTACCGGCCACAGGCACGCAGTCGCATGTCGCTGTGACTTTTGCATGAGATGCTCAATGAGAAGCATGCGAAAGCGGAGGCATCATCACCAAACGGAACTTCACAGTCTTCATTGGAGTCTATGCTTTCGCCCACTTTGCATGGCCCCTAGTAACTACAGATTTGCGCGAATTTCTCAATTGAGATCGTCGGACCGTAGACCAGATGCAGATGGTACAGCCTTGTCGCATCTTGTCGTCTAGGATTGCTGCAGAGCAAAGATTCAATCTGATTCGGCTTACAGGTTCCGGATTCCGGTTTCATGAGTCGTTGCGTGCGTGCAAGCAAGCAAGCAAGCAAGCAAGCAAGCAAGCAAGGTGTGCATGCGATCGCAAAGAGCCGTGCTTTGGTGCAAGGGGAGTCGCGGGACGGGACACTGCCAAGTTTGTCCTGCTTCGTAAAGCACCATCTCAACCGCATGATTTCTTGTCGAGATCGTGCCATGCCTAGTGTATTTACACTAGCACTTCGCAGGCTGAAGTGAGAAGCTTTTAAGCTCGGCTATGCATGGCGAACTACGCTACAAGAGCAGTGAGTATTTTTTGCTGAGGTGGTGTTCTTCGTGTCAGTTGCGGCTTTCGTCGAGTATTCCCTGCTGGAGCCGACACGACCCCAGGGAGCCTTTGAACGTACTGAAATGCGTGAACTGCACCTACCTGACATGAGCTGATGAGCACATCTCTCATCTCCCAAGGTTGCGAAAGGCGGGGCTGGTTCGCAAAGTCGAGCTCTGACGAGCCGCCTGCGGAGACTGACGGATTCAAAAACTGCTAGCCTCACTGGTGCGCTGCGTTGCTGCAGGCTGTCGAGTTCTTTGTAACCCAAACACAAATGCAAGAGTCCCAGCTGGCACAATCAAGGCAGCTGCTGAGTTGGAACTGCAACAAAATTTTAAATGTCAATCTATGATAAACTACAATATACTATATTGTACTATCATATACTACAATATACTATAATATTGGGGGCTGTTAACAGGTGAAGCTGTGACTGATTCCCTTCCGGATTCAGAGCCTTCGAAATCCGAGCCCTCAAGCCGTGTAGATCTGTTTAATAACTAATAGAATAGTGCTATGGCAGGGACAGGGCCATGCAGCGGGCGCGGCTTGGAATTTGGTCCCGAGTTCTGCTTGCCGCATTTGGAGGTGACGTGGGGATGGTCATTCCAGCAAGGCTGCCTCTGTGTGAACCCATGTTATTTACCAGGAGCAGAGCTTAGTCCGGAGTCTGCGGCAAGTTTGAGAAATAGATCGCCACCTGATACCGCTGCCATGCTCACGTGAAGGGGATTTGCTGGTGGGCTGTTGGACCGCTATCAAGCAAGGTCTACGAAGATCCCCACCCCCCTCCACTCTCAGCCTCGAAAAAGCTGCTGTGCCTGTACCTCCACTCAAACCCCAACATACCCCCGACTACGATTGCAGCACTGGCAGATAAACTCGAGCTTGATTCCGAAGCGAACCTTGGAGTGCCCCTCTCTGGCACAACAAGGTCAAAAATCAGGCTATCACGGCCATCCCCAGGTGTCCGACAGCATTGCACGGCGCCTCGTGGGTGCCTCGCCGCTGCAGGGGCTGACTCCGGAGACCCCCGGCGTCTCCAGTCGCTCCTGGCAGGAGCGCTTTTGAGCGCGTTCGTCGAGTTGTGCAGCCCCACTCCTTTTTGTTGTGACTCTGCAACTTCTGTCTCAAGCCGTCGGGCTACAGATATGCCGAGGTTATACGATTTTCGCTGCGCAGTCCCTGTGCCATCCATGGCTCCGCATACAGGTCGACGATGTTCGGCTGTTTGCATCGTGCTTGCCCTAACAGCCCTTTGGACAAACTCGGCATTTTGCCCTGGCCACATGGAAGTGCCATCTTCTGACAGGGTCCCAAGCCCAACTCGGGGCTTTCAGCTCCCCAGGCCCAGGCTAGGGTTTAAACGGCCTGGATCCTTAGAGTCAAGATCGGTTGGCCAAGTGAGCCGGGCAGCTGAAGAAAAGGGCTTTGCAGGCATGAAAGGCATCCTGCGCGTGCAGGCGGTGGGCTCGGGCAGAGGGAGCTTCATTTTGGAGATGGGAGGAATCAGGATCCTAGTCAATCCAAATTTGGAGGGCTCCGACTTGAAGCCGGAAAATGTGCACGAGGAGTTTGACTATGTCTTCCTCTCGTCAGAAGAACCAGAGTTCTTTCATCGACCAACAGTCGACAAGATGAAGCTTACAAAAGTGAAGTTCGTGACATCACAGAAGGCAGGGCAAGAACTGGCTAAGATGATGGTGCGTAACTTGGCGGTTCTCCAGAACGGCCCTGGCGGACAGTGCTGCTTCGTCTGCACTCATCCTCGCTCGAACGGCCGTGGAGCAACTGATTACTATAATAATATACTACAATATAATATGTTGTAATCATGCCATAGCGTACAAGAGTAGACTCTACCATTCTCAGTCGGAACACGTAAAGGCTCGATCCGAAGCTAGCAACTCGCAACTTGAATTGGGCAACGTCTACCCATCATGGAAGGAGGCCCATCATCGACTTTCCATCCACTTCTTCTCCAGAACCGGCTCCGAAGAGAAACGTAGCTTGTCAACCCCCAAGGTTGCACAAGAAAACAGAATATCATATGACATAGCACATAATCTTACATAAAGATAAGATACAACCAGTAAGATTACATGAAAGTTTGCAGTACTGAGGCTACTTGCAGAAGAAGGACAAGGCTGCTGCGGCCGTCGGCGTCCTTTCCGCCCCCGGCTCTGGCAGCTTCCCCTGGGAGAAGCAGGAGGGTCCCAAACAAAAACCCTCAACTAAAATACGATGTACGGTATGATCTATTATGTCATGTTATATTGTTATATTATATAATCATAATATAGTTGGTTTTCTGAAAATATGTTGGGTCACATTATTTGAGAAGGTATTCTATTGAACTCTACGGTCGCAGAAAATGACTCTGTAGCACTGGCTTCCATAGTACTACGATAGCTAGGTCAGCTCGCGGGCAGAAACTGCTTGATCTTCTTGCCAGGAGCAGGGTTTCATCTTCGTGAACTTAGAAACGGGAGCTGCGGTGGCCTACGAGGCATTTGGGCAGTTCCTCAGCAAGGGCGCGTCCTCCAACAAGCCCGACATCCCGGAAGAAGCCTATCAAGTAGACTTTCTCATTACCCCCAATTTGGCCGAAGCTGCCGGGGTAGCAGCGGGTCTTACACAGAAGGGGGCCAAGCTTCGAGGAGTTTTGCGCCTGCCAGGGGAGGGGCCCATCCAGGAGGAGGAGTCTCCCATGGCTGCTTTGGATAAGGCCTTCGGGGGCATCGATGATGATCCTGATCAGTTTCGCAATTTTCTTAAGGATCAGGGGCCCCCCCTCGCGGACACCCGGCTGCTCATGGCTGAGCCCAACGGGGCGGCTGTCGATTTGGAGCTCTGAAGCCAAGAGCGCCAAAAGTGGCAAAGCTATCCGTTCAGACGTAGAGAGACAAGTATGTGCGGTTGAATAAAAGCGGTGTGCACTGGACATGTTCATGCTCCACTTGCAGACACCTTGGCTTCTTGTCTGCGGGTCTCAATCTTTGACAAGGAGTTGGCGGCAGTGGCAACCCAGTTGCCAGACATCCGCTGGCTCGGAAGGCAGGTTTTAATGTGGTGTGGAAAGCCGCAGGAGGACCGAAAGAGGTACTGGTAGCACTAGTTCAGTACAGCTCTTCAAAGCTTTCCAAGGGGCACAGGGATGCACTATTTGCAGCTAGCCCTTGGGCTCGTCCCGGACCTTCGAGGGAGATAGTTCCCGTGCAGCTGGATCAGAGGACTTGTGGAATGACTTTGCCGTCCTCCACCAGAACCAGACGACCGATTTAGAGATTCCGGGTCATCGCGGCTACTTCGGAGAGCTGCTTGCCAGCACAACCAACAGGCCAAGCAGCCATCAGAACAAGCATCTCGGGGGAGTGTATTTCTTCACAGTCGTTGGGTTCACCTTCCTGAATCTTGAGCCGAGCCCTTGCAAGGAAAGCTCTTCGATTCGGCGGCGTGGACATTATTCTACGTACCCTTGCACTGTTCCAAGCAGATGAACGCGTGGGCAACCATGGAATTCTGGATATTTTTTCCGAGCCATTGCATGGAAGGTTTCGATCTATTCTGCATTTCGCTCCGAGAACCGACTTCTTTCTTCGACCCGAAAACTTTCGAAGATACATCCTTCCCAGACTGGACAGAGACAGGACCCTTACACCACAACAGATCCACGGCAGCACGAAGTCTTCAGCAGCACAGGTTTGTTGTGCGAGGTTGTCAGCGGATACCTCGTTTGTCATAGGGCACAGCGTGGGAATTGCCGTTCGTATTTATAGTACGCCTAGCACAGACTTCTGTGTGCAGCATGACATGCCATGAGGATCGCGAACACCATGAGCTTTGGGCCGCATTAGTATAGTTGTGCGTTGCTGCAGTATGCTTAGATGTGTGTGTGGGTGACTAAGTACAGGAAGGGAAGGATAAACATGTAGATGAGCAAGCATCGCTGCTTATACCAATTCGGTGTTGCTGCTGCTGATGCACAATACGCAAATGCTCCACTTGGATGCTGAATGAAGGCTTGTGATGGTCGCACCTCCGCAGACGCCCCTAAAGCTCGAAGCCTTCAAGCTGGTCACGCAGCGCCGCTTGTTGAAATTGTGGACCCAAACACAGTTCGGCAAGTGTTTCAGGCTTTTGGGGAAGTATGGTTTGTGTCTGCTGCGGAAGACACTGGCAAAAGAGACATGTCTGCTGGTCGCCAAGGGTTCGGAGCCTGTCTTGCCGCATCAGTGGCTGACATGGCCATGTGCTCCTTCGTGGCACATCAGCGGCTACACAATTTTTAGCATGTAAGCTGAAACATTCTGCGACACTCAGAAGCGACTGACACGGAAAGACCACAGCCAAGAATCCACAATTTAAGGCTTCAGATAGCCCCTTCATGAAACCAGGCTTCGATGTGACAAGGGGCAGGCCCAAGAATAGGGCTCTTCTTCGCTCGGCAGAAAAACTGAAGGAGCAGTCGAAAATGAGGTCTGTGCTGCACATCCACCGGCTGGGAGGAGGTCTTCTGCAACGCAGACATCCGTGGTGCTGCGCGGGTTCTTTGGCACCTTTGCGAGGCACCAGCTTGCTGAAGCATATCATCATACTAGCCAACCAGCTCGCAGTAGTCTTGGAAAGGGGGTAGTAGCCGTCCTACAATAATGCTTTCAAAAGGCCATCGTTGGTTTACTAGTCGTATGATTGTATCAACTGGCAGTGGCTGGTGACAAACACTGCCCTAAAGGTCTATCTGTCGGCGACGAGTCGCACCCCAAGACCGATATTCTCGTTCCTTCCCCGTGCCCGTTTGTATGTCCGTGTGTATAGACAGTATAGACAGAAAGACATGTAATCATAGACATGCATGTATGTATGCATTCACGCGCGTATATTCGGCTGCTGTGCATGGATGGATGGATTTCATAGCATTTTATGCCGGGTTTTGGCAGTAATAGTACAATCAGCAATGCCAGCAACGCTGCTCGTATGATTAGCAGTCTTGACAATAGTGGTGGTCAAGAGCATCAACTACTTCTATTGTAGGTAATGAAACCTGTGCCAGTAAGCTTCGTCATGCCAGCAGTATCCAGAACATGGGTATTCGTGCTCGCTGTTTTCATAGCCTTAGCCATGCTACGAAGACTTGTGCATTTTGTCATTGCAAAGTTGCGCAAGAAGTCAATGGTAGCAAGCTCAACAGCAATCGTTGCCCTGATGACCTCTGTATGCTCTCAGTAATGCTCACAACTCTCGCAGCAAACTCTCAAGCTGAGACGGAACAGAACAAAGCATTCGCACAAGAAGGCTACCAAGCCCAGTAGCAGTGTTAAGCTCAGTGCTTGTAAATGCAGCTGTTGTTGTCGTTGTGCTAGTCGTACTTCGTCGTAGTAGTAGTAGTAGTTGTTGTTGTTGTTGTAGTAGCCAGTGACAGTAGCAGTAGCAGTCGGAAGCTGGTAGATAAGTTAGCCAAATCCTGTACGAGTCGGATGACGACTCCTGGTTCAGTTTGTAGAACTTCAGTTATGTAATCTTTGTGGGTTCCAGAATGTCTATTGCTAAGTTCTGGGTGTCCTGATATCCAATATGCTGAGATTGTCAATTTTGTCATTTAGATTTCCAACCGTCTGCAGCGCACACCCAACCGCCAGTGGTTATGTCCATACAGCCGCTTCTCTCCTCAAGCGAAGCATCAAGGATGCTACACTGACCCCGACACAACTCAAACGGTAGATACATGAGGAGGGTAGAATTCATGTACTTCCCTGTTTATGCTCGCTATGCATTTTCTCGTGGTGCCAGGACACGGAGGCCCCACCATTCCCTCCAGCAGCTCGCGGTTCACGCAGCTATGCGGAGATGCTGCTGGAGGCCTCCTCCCGCAGCATGAAACTGTCGGCAATAATGAGAAGTCCCTGTCACAAAAGTTTTCTGAGGATCAGAAGGGGCTTAGGAAGACTCGGAAATGTTGTTATTTTGGACCTCGAACCGGCACACTTTCAAGACCCGTCCGCCGATTTGCCTGCACACTTAGACGGGAAGGGGCCGTTCAAAGAAACCTAACAGCCTGTTGCGACCGAGAAGAAATGCAGCGAGATCAGTCTCAGAGTTGATGGACATATGCTTCATCAGCATGGAGGGAGGTTTTGGGAAATGAAGTTTTGGGACAGCACCATTTAAAGGACACTGGCATGTTAGATTGCGTAAATACTGCCTCAAGGCTTGATTTTACAAGTTGCTGGCCCATACACTGGGAATCTTGGATTCAACCCTGAAGCCCTATAGGGTTTAATGATATTCGGGGCGGAGTTGCAGGCGCAGCATCTCCAACTTGCACGGAACTTAGACGATTTCGAGCTGGAGTTGGAGGGCGAGGATGCACAGGAAGGGTATGGCAGGGTCCCAAGGTTCCGAGTCTATGGATCAGGATGGGCCTCTTCAGTGTGAGTTGAGACTTTGCTGTGTCATATGACTGACTCCGCAAGACTAGTGCTAAGGTGACCCCGCCTCTCTTTCTCTCCTCATCTGTATGCAGCTAGATGCATCTGCCTCTCCCTCTCTGCCTCGCTTTATTTTATGGAGGCCCCGTAAACATTCAGCAAGTCCTTTGATCGGATCCTCGACTTGTTTCCAAAATTTCGGGGTGAATCCGTTTGGAAGTATTTCTGTCATCTTTCGTCCTTGAGCACCCTCGGAGAGCGATTGAAAATTTGCAAGTGACGTCAGAGAGGACCCCCTGCTTGCCGAAGACTATTCGTTTACATCGCTGGTGCTGCTCTCGGCTGCCGTTTTTCTGAGGTTGGCCGACTGAGGAGATCCTGTCAGAATTGCTACTTAAACAGAAGTCCTTGCTCGGCGCGTTCATAGAAGATGAAGCGAGCCTCAGGAAGAGATGCGCTTCTGGACCTGCCACAGCCTGCTTGCAATTGCATTGGTGCTTTCAGTACTCGACCCCAGGTGCAGCGCTGTGTCGCCCGACATGCCTTCGAAAATGAGGGACTGCAGCTGCTTTGTGAGGTGCCTTGCAGTTGACAGCGGGTGTGTTCCAAGGTTGCTAGTCGAAATTGTGGATGACGTGCCTTGGTGTTGACCGTAGAACTGAGGCCGTCGGCCTGAGTTTCACGGGCCTGCCCGAAGGAGCAGAAGAGGCGCGGAGCGGCAATGCCCACGGGATAGTCGCGTTTGGGGGGGACTGCTTTCACTCTCGTTGTCAAGAGCTGCTCCAGCTGACTGGGCTCTTGGAAGTCTCATGGCCAGGAAGCTTTGAAGCAAGCATCCGAAGAAGAGCAACGAGCCATCACAGCGCTCGGCTTGACCTGCACGCACCTCGCCGAGGACTGAATGTCATGAGTCATGACTTTCGAAAGGCCTTACATCCGAAAGTGGATTTGCATATGAGCCTGCAAAGCTGGAGGACGTCCGTGCGTCAAAGAGAAGCAGGGAAAGCTGAGCGATGTCTCAAAAGATGGGCCGCGCAATGAATACCTGAAGGGTTCAATGTTCAGAACCGTCTCTTCAGTCTTCAGCTTGGCGGAACGGCGCAGGTTGCGGACGCCTGTCGGCGCACGATCTGAACGTCATGGCACAGACGTTCTGGTCAGCATCTCAATAGACTTCTGCTCTCAGCGGCGGAATACGCTTGCCAACATTGCTTAGGCCAGAGCTCACTGCCGACGAACTCAGGGACCTTTACCAGACTGTTTGCCGGAATCGGTCAGGCGCAGATAGATAGATAGATAGATAGATAGATAGATAGAGTTATAGAGTTTCACAGTCTTGGAGCACGTGAAAGCGCCGAAGGAGAGAGTTTCTGTTTTGCTCGGCGCCACCTTGGGCTTCCTAATTCAGCCTACCTTTTCATTTGTGTTCTAGTGGTGTATGTTACTAGTAGCGTGTTTATGCTAAACTACCAGCTGAACCAGCAAGTCAGTAACAGCCAGGCTACGTCGAGCTCCACGAGTTCTGCGCTGCGTTGGGCTTCGACCCCCGGGCCTCACCCGCTTCGCAGGAAACGGCAAGGCTCGTACCTTCCTGGCGGTAGTTTTGGATGCTTCAGGGTCGTGTTGGTCGTTGTGTTTGCGGCGGTTGTCGTCGTCGTCAAGCCGCGAAGTGAAAGTTTCTACCGCCGCAAAACATTAAACCATTAAACCATGTCCACGTAGCAATGTCGGACACTTATNNTATTGCCATGCCTGCTTTTGCGAGTGTGTGAGACCATTGCACCAAAAACGCAACCAGAACCCGACAGTTGTGCTTTGGCGATGTCCCTTCTTGACTGCCTAACAATATTACCCCCAGCCATGCCACAAACAACCACCCTGACAGTTCCCGCCGAAGGTCTTTGTCGCAGCTGGATGGCGCCCTGCAGGTGGTCTTGGATCGCATTCGGATTTCGATCCTGGAGGCACCGTGCGCTGTTGCTTTGATTGGTTTTTGTTGCTCAAACACCGCTGGCCCCAACGAGTACAGTATGACTATGACCGTCTATGACCACTACATGCTTCCCATGCTGAGTGGCGCAAAGACAACGCCGGCTTCGTAAGAAGTAGAAAGGATTTCTCACTGAGCAGTTTCTCGGAAAACTGTTTGCAGGTTGCAGGAGTCCTGCTTAGAGTGAAGCCGATCGACGCAATGTTAACCTGCTCGGCAAAAGTTCCAGAGTATATATGAGGGTGCCATAGCACAAGACACATTGAGAATGTAACCATCGCCTTTGCTCGAGAGCCATGGAGTTCGTCCTGCTGGATTGTTCGGGTGAAGAAGTCTGCCGCTTTCTGTGGCATGCAGAGAGCAACGCAGATGAACGAGCTACTTATTCTGACGAGAGAGTGGGTTCAACCCGTCGGCCAAAAGCCTCACATGCTTGTGGTCGATGAGGCCGTGTCTCTATTTCGCGCGGTTGGCGCTGCCAAGCCTGGCCAGGATCTTATCAGGGAGTCAGCCACACTGGCACCAGTCATGCTTAGGGAAAGATATGTGCTCACAGTTTGAGAGGATATGTATGCCGACTTTTCCACTGTCATCGCGAAGTGAGCTTCGCCAGCAAGCTTGAAGCAAGTCAAGGTCTTGTCGCCATTGCGGCCTCAGCCAAGGAAGCCGTACCATCACTTGTCTATGCTCGACACTGCATTGAGCAGCTCGGCAAAGAAGCCGTCGAATCCGCATGTTGCAACTGGACAAAGCCTGCTGAAGGCACGACCATTCAGGTGGCCTGGACCGGCAACTGCGGGGCTCAGACTGTGAGACAGGAGCGTGCCTTCGCGGCTCTCAAGCCCGCAAGTCGCAAGCAGAGATATTGCCATGCGCAGTTTGCCACAGACACACATGCACGAGAACACACACTGAACTCCTACAAGGGTGTACCTGTTTGTTTGCGTGGTTCAGTTGCTTATGCGTGCATGAGCATGCCATGTGTGTATACTCGTGAGTATGCTTCTCTTGCAACCTGCTTGCACATTATTCCATGTGCTTCTATGTCGACATACGCCTATACAAGTTAAGTACATGTAGATTTCCCTACGCCTGACGGCCACAGGATCATCGGGATCAAAGACCAGGGAACAAAGCGAGACAAACGGACAAGTAAGTCTGCACAACCAGGTGCGTGCCTATCCATGCCTGTGCATGTTGAAACAGCTCCCCTCCTTCCGCCTCCTTTCTCTCTTCTGTCCCCCTTTCTCTCATTCAAGCAAGATGTCCCTTCCAAAACAAGCCTCCGCATCAGACATATGTAGAACTCGACCGCACCCGCAGCAACTTGTGGAGCCGAGCATCCATGTAGGTAGTTCTCTGAATTATGGTGCCTTCTGCGGTCCGTTCTGTTTTGGGGACCTCAAAAGGGACTCTACTTTGGAGAGCTACCATGTAGTTCCATCCTTTTGGCCGTGCTCTTTGCTTTTGGTGGCCATCAGCATCAAACGAGTTCTTCCGTTTGTGCCGAAACCTCGACACCCCAAGCTTAGGCTGCTGATGGGTGCCGTTACGACAGTATCTCATCTAGAATCATCTAGATCATAACATGCTGGGTTTTGGTCTGAACAGACTTCGGTCATGTTCGAAATGTTTCAATTTAACTTCCCCAAAGGTTCGGTTCGCTATGATGTGCGGGGCCATACTCCCGTTTAGGAACTTTGCTGCTTGTTTTTTTGAGTCATACCTGGTTTTGGACGGAGAATTGGGCCCTGATGGTCAGGTCCGATGTGGATGGATCTGTGGTCACTTGGGGCGATCGGGAGTGGGGAGGAGACTCATCCAAAGTTCAACGGCAGTTGGTGAAAGGTGCGGTCCAGGCAGGTTTGCTAGTTCACACCCCGGCTTGTTCATAGTTTCGTTCAGGATGCCGTCACCTTTTGATGCAGAGACGTTTTCAGAAAACTGAACCTGATTGCATGGAGGTGTTTGGAACTTACGGCGCTTTTGATGTGGATTCGGCGGCCGAGAACGAGGACGAGGATCAAGAAGGTCCAGTCTCCGAGACTAAGCGGGCGTTTGCAGCGACAAAGGCCAGGTGCTCCTGACTCCCTAATACTTAGTTTCTTCGGATCCGATCTCACGGAAAGGAGAGCTTTGGGCATGGAGAGTTGTATCTTTTCTGCCCTTATGTGTTTCCATCTAGCTGCATCTTTCGTGCTGGCGGCAAGGCCAACGGCTTTGGCCTCAGGTTGCGAGCTACAGACAGCATTGCCGGTAGCCCCTACTACAAACACTCTTCGCACTTTCTGTTAGGCTCAGTCGTGACATGGGGAGACGGTGACTTTGGCGGCGATTCCTCAGCAGTTGCCTCCCAACTACGTAAAGGCGTTCGCCACATATGCGCCTCTTATGGCGCTTTTGCAGCAGTCAAGGCTGGTTCTGTGTCGCTCGGGGGCCTGCGAAGGATCCCTCGCAGTTCCAAAAATGCCCTGCAACAGGAAGACGGATCTGTGGTGACATGGGGTCATCCAGATTTCGGCGGCCTGTCCTCAGAGGTCTGCGGGCTCCTCAAGGGAGAAGTGGTCCTGTGACGCGGCAAGAGAATGTAGGTACTTCATGGGGATGTTGTTTTTTGCAGGCGGTAAGACTTGCTGAGCCCTAGCTGCTTGTGCATCCCAGGGTGCGTGCCACTCGAAGTGCATTTGCCGCCGCCTGGTGCAGATACCAGAATATGTTTGTCTGCCCGCCACAGTACGAGTAGCATGCCACGAGGGTGCTCACAAATCAAGATCTCCAAGGCACTTAAGGCGGATGGATCAGTGGTGACCTGGGGCGACCCTTCTACCGGCGGTGACCCCGGCGAGGCAAGCCCTGGCCGCTGGCTGAAATCTCGGCCTGCAAGCCCGTGACAGGTCGAAGGACACCTGCGCTCGGGTGTGAAGCAGCTTGCTGCTGGCTCCGCATTTTGTAAACTGGCCCGGAGAAGGGGCTTGTTCCTTGAGCACTCCTTGAGCACTGCACAAGCATAGACTGGCATGGGTATGCTATTCTGTGACCCTACCGAAATCCATCACGAACAGGAATCTGCGCGCATGGGACTGAAAACGAGTGAGAGACTGCAGAGGTTGCGACGTATGGAGCCTTCGCCGTCGCGACCCGGCCTTACCTTTGCAGAGGGCTTCAAAACCACGGGAGGACGGCCCATCACGCAGCTGCGCAAGTGCCGCTTGCATGCTTGCGCGGCGGAATGTCACATTCGTATGTTTTTGAATGTTCTTCGCTGCGGCTTCAAAACTGCATATGGTCAACCTCGCAAAGAGCACATTCCGTGTTTTCTTTTCGAAATGTCCTTGAGGTGACAAGCGACGGGGCCGTAGTGAGCTGGGGAAGCGAGGACTCGGGTGGCAGACAGCTGGACAGCTCCAGCAAACTCCGCCAAGGACCCATTTTTCGGCATGCGTCGTGCTAGTCGACGCCACCTCAAAAGGTTCTGAAGTCGCCTACTGTATCATTCTGAAGGAGTGCGTGATGTGTGCAGTAACTTCGGGGCCTTTGCGGCGATCAAGGAAGACGGCACTGTTGTTGCATGGGGTGTTTCGGTGGCATCGCAGCCGAGAAACTCTGTGCCACTGCTTCTTCCAAGCTGACGTCTCTCAGCATGTGCCAGTAAGTTTCGTCGTGCTTGTATCTTCTCATTAGGAGATGCCTTGGCAATCACAGGTGACGCAACTTGTGGTGGCGACACCTTCCCAGTTCATTCTGATCTCAGAAGTGTCCAGCATGCCGGCTGCAGACACATCAGCTTGGGCACAGCGAATCATTCAGAACAGTAGCATGTGTCCGCAGTGATGCAAGGCAAGTCTGCGGGACTTACAGTGCCTTTGCCGCCTTGAAGCAGAACGGCACCGTGTTGGCATGGGGAGATGCAGACTGGGGTGGTGATACGTCGCAAGTCGAGGAGGAGCTGAAGGGCGTGAGTCAGGCTCCAACTTTGTGGCTGATTGACACCTCGTCGGGTCTGATGGATGTAACAATGTAACATCAAACTGGCTGCCGCACCTTGTGATTGCAGGTGTGCAGCACATACGGTGCATTCGCAGCTTTGCAGCTCTGCTGCATTCTGCTGCTTCTGGACTCTGGACCCTATTTGTTTCGTCCTTGGCTCAGTCTCGGGTTTGAGGAGGAATGATGGCTCCGTGATCGCTTGGGGTGACATGGCATGCGGTGGCGATGCCTCAGCAGTGGCCAGCAGGAGTCGGTGTGGATGCTTTGTCTGGTCATGCTGTCACTCAAGATGCATGTGTGCACTGTGGGCTAGGTGTCGCATGATGCGCTCTGCAATTTGCAGGATACGCAAGCGTGTGTTCCACATATGTAGCACATATGGTGCTTTCGCTGCGACGAAAACTGTACCTTGGATGGACAGCACTTCAGCAAAGTTCATTGTTTTTTTGCCCCAACGATCTTGCCCCACAGGGCTCCTGTGCTTGCAAAGATATCCTCGGCAATTTGGTTAGCTTCCAAGTGAAAGGCTTCCCCTTGTGAATTCGCCACCAACCCGGTTGTGTTTGCCCAAGCTTCCAAAAACTGACCCACCTTGAGGATGGATCCGTTGTCACTTGGGGTGATGCGGACTGGGGTGGAAACTCCTCGACCGTACAGGATCAGCTCTACATGATCTCGTGCGTTTCAGGGACGTTTCGCGCCTTCCTAGACTTCCGGGAGAGTGGCACCTTCTTCTTGGGTGACGATGCTCCTTGGAGAAACTTGTGTGAAATCCTTGCGATTGCGAGCTTTGCGTGAGAGCCAGGAGCGTGCGTGCAAGGCTTTCGACAGCAGCGACGCCAGTTACGATGGGCTGTTGGTGGGAGTGGCCAGAATCTCTGGTACCGGTGGTGCTTTTGCAGCCACGAAGGCCAGGAAGTAAACGAAAGAATCCTGTTTCCCGTCACAGGTAGACATCCGAACCGTCTCTCCCAGCCAGAAGAACTTCCTTTCCCGAGGTCGATGGATCTGTTGTCACTTGGGGCGATCCAAAGTGTGGCGGCGATTCGTCGAAAGTGAAGGAGCAGCTGAGAGGAGTTGTCGAGGTGTCATGGCCAAAACTTACTCCCGAATCGCTTCAAACATGTTCCAATTAAGCAAACCACTCAAAGGCAGACGTACTTGGCATCAGGTAAGCCACACAGCCGCAGCATTCGCTGCGCGGTTGGCAGACGGTTCCGTGCCGCGCCGAGCGCGTACGGTGCTATTTTCGGTAACTGTTGGAGGGACGAGATACTTATGCTGTCACTCTACGGGGGCCGCAATGCAGATTCGGTGCGCGGCGGACATGTTACATGTTACATAAGTTTGGATGATGCTGAGGTGCTTGCCTGGGGAGATCCAGCATGTGGCGGTCAAAGCACAAGCAGCCAGAAGTTGAGCAGCTTTCCAGCAACGTGGAACAGACTTTCAGAAGGCTTGACAACAGCCGAGCTGTGTTTAGGAATGGGCGCAAGGCGTGTCTTCGGATGCTCGGCCGAGCTAAACCCCGCTGGTTTTTGTCCAGATGCCTGCGCCGATGAGACTGTAACCTTCATGTCCAGCAAGGTTTGTACAAACTTTTCGCATGCATCAGGGCAGATGGAGCCATGCCTGCACTTGTGACTTCACCAGTGGTTCTCTCATGCTTCTACGTACTGTCAGGAACTGTCTCCATGTGGGGAGATGAGACACTTTGCATGGCAACCTGGCAGCTCAGAGACTGGACATCTATCTCGTTCTGATGGGGGCATTTTCTCCAAGGATGGAGCTGGTCTGAAAGACGTTGCTTCCGTCGCTGGCACTGCTAAAGCTTGTGCAGAGACTCACAAGCAGCAGGTTGTGACTTGTTCACTGCTCGTGCAGCCGAATGCTCTGCTCAGCGTGCAAGGCAGTTACCGCAGATGGATCTGTGTCTCGCTGGCACTACCTTGCATGTATCTCGTGTGCATTTTTGCATGGTGATCGGCTGCTGGCAGGTGCTGACATGGGGAGATGAAAGATGGGGAGGGGACTGCTCGAAAGTATCGTCTCAGCTTCAGGACCCGCACTGAGCGAAGCCTTTCCCGAGAGCATTTCGGCGCCGACCCCTGAATGCTGCAAGGATGTGCAGCAGATTTGCGCAACAGGCGGAGCCTTTGCAGCTCGGACACAGAGTGGGGCTTCCTGGTGGCAGAAGTTCGAAAAGACTGCACAAGCTCAGATGCTGAGGTGCATGCACATAGGTCATCGGTTCTTTTAAGAGGCTGTGGTAACTTGGGGCGATGCTGCAAGTGGGGGCGACTCCTTGGAAGTGTGGGACCAGCTTTCGGATGGTGTCGTGGACCTGAGCCACACGAGCAGCGCCTTCGCTGCGAGGAAGGCAGATGGCTCGGTTGTGCCAGGCTCCAAGCTTTGTGTGTGAGTGTGTGTGCGTGTGTGTCGAAGACAAACTGCCTCTCCGCCGCGCTTCCTCGCAACTCTACTGAAGCTCAGGACGTGGGGCAATGAGGATTTGGGTGGAAACTCTTTCGAGCTCCTTCGCCCAAGATGGTTTCCGAAGCTCACGAGAGACCGGCTCAGTCGAATGAGGCTGTCCTATGACCTGAGCTCGGACGTGGCGCAGGTTTACGGCAACGGCGCCGCTTTTGCTGCGCTGAAAGTCAATGGATCGGCAGCTCGGCCAAGTTCTTTTCGCAAGTTCTTTCAGATTGGAGCGACATGTTCTCAAAAATCAAGTCCTAGCAAGGTCGTGTGCTGGGGCGACGCGAGCGCTGGGGCTAATTTCAGACTGGAGGGCGTGGTTAACATATGCGGCACTTACAGGGCCTTTGCTGCCGTGAAGGCCCCTTGCACGTGGAGTCTACAAGTGTAAATCGCGGCTCTTGTGCCACGAAGCATTGCAGAGGAGAATGGCTCCGTAGTGGCGTGGGGTGATCCAGACTGTGGAGGAGACTGCTCCAAAGTTGCTGTCGCACTGCGGGGGGATGTGCCTTGGACTTGGACTGCTTGGCCTCCGACCGCTCTCTAAAGCTTGCGCAGACCGCATGCTTGCACTGGAAGCCCTAAGCCCCAAGCGCCACAGACCGCATCAGCTAATCTAGCAACTAGCAAGGGAGCTTCGGTCCGTCTGTCAGGTCGTACAGCTTTGCGGAACGTTCGGGGCCTTTGCAGCTCTGAAAAAAGATGGGACAGTGGTCACATGGGGAGATCCAGAAACTGGAGCTGACTCCTCGATGCTGCAGCCAGTCCATGAACCAGATAGCAGCGACGAGAAGAGCTGAGAAAGAAAAGCACCGATTGCCTTGGAAACACAAGCTTGCTCCGGCAAGTTGCATTGCAGAGCCGTGGCGAATCAAAGCTGTGGCAGGCTGGCATTGATGCTGGCAACCTTTTTCAGAAGCTGGACGTTGCAGGAAACGGCTACCTCAGGCACCTTCTGTCGCTGTCCATTTCTTTTACATTTTTCGTAACCCTGAGGGTCCGTTTTGGAGGCATGACGAAGTCAGCCTGATGGCTTACGCCTACGACCCTCAGCTCACTGGACAACAGCTCTTTGCCTCCACTTGGCGGAACTACGGCTTCTACTGCACGTCTGCACTTGCGAGGTTAGACGCCCTGTTTCGTCATTTCGACCCCCGCGGCTGTGGCATGGTGGACTTGGAAGGCACACTTGGGCACGATTGGGTCAACTGAAGCCGGCATCGATCTAAAATGCAATACCCGATTGAAGAATCGCAGGCTTTAAACGTTGCATGGGATTCCTGACGGGCACGGAGCAGAGCAATGTCGATGAGGCTCGCAAACATTCACATTTCGACAGACGCTTGTTGTAGGAGTGCCGTCCAACATGCCGATGCAGCTCTGCCGGAAGAGCTTCTGTCACCAAACCATCTCGGGACATCACTTGAGGGATCCTGATGTACCAAGCCCAAATCAGAAAGAGAATCAGGAAAACTTGCGCAAGGCAGATGGGTTTAGCCCGGACCCCCCCAGTAGTCGAAGACATGTCACAGCACGCACATGCCTGCCTCCGAGAAGCCCAAAAACGGAGCGAAAGCTGAAGCCAGGCCGTTCGATCGCGAATAGCACAGTCTGCCACCTCATTACAGTCGAGAGGCCTGGTTTGGTCCGGTTCCTGCGTGTCCATGGTGAACTCACGGAGTACAAACCTTGATTGCGGGCGAGCGAGAATCTCGTAGGTGCAAAGAACATGACGTGCTCTGCAGAGTTTTGCAGGCTGCAGCGTACAAGAGGCATTCGTCATCTTCGACACGAATCGCAACTTGCATGCCGGGTTTCTCCTGCGACTACCAAATGCCGATTTGCTGAAGTACTCAGGCAACGGATTCCTCGACCAAACCGAGTTCTACAGATTTCTGGTGTCTTGCGACTCTCGGGTCCTAGGCCTAGCTCTCCAACTCTTTCTTGTGATGCGAGAGATCGTGTGCAAGTATTGACTTTGCCGCTCCAAAGATTCAACTTGTTGAGAACCGCGGCAAGCTCGAGTCGTGCGATTCCTTTGCTGTGTCGCCCCGCAAAAGATGTGTGGCGAACTTCTGGGTAAGCACAACGGATATGGCCATGGCCCATGGCCTAGAAGCAACACTCGTTTTTTTGCGGACTTGGTGTGGCCTACTAGCCAGACTCTGTAAGCTTTATGGCATTGGAGATGTGTCCAGATGAGAAACTTGAATCAAATCTTTGTAGATGATGTACTCCATACACACCACAGTGTCAGCCCACGCATCATGGAGTCAGAACACAAGGTCAGCCAGCGGGAAAGCGACTTGATATTTGCCGAGGTTCGGCCCCGGCAGCACAGGAAATCCCCCCTGAGAATCCTGGGACAAGTGGCAGGTCTCGAGGAACTCTGGCCGCGTCGACGTGAACACCTTTGCCCAGGCAGCCTGTCGCAAATGCAGATGGCCTCCTAACTTGCTACTCCTGAACAGCCATGTCTTCTGCTGTCCAGGTCTTCGCCATCATCCCGGGCTCACTGACGTGAGCAGCTCAGCATAGACAGTGAGCGACCAGCGAGGCAGGCATATGGTGGCCCTACTGGCCCTACTCAAGGTAGTAGGACCTGTGCTTAGATTTTTGTCATGCGACATGCGCATCAGCGAAAGGATGCAAAGTGAGACCAGTGGATTTGAAGGATTCTTTGTGCAGACAACGACTTGAGAGACTCCCGAAAAACGATCGTTCTGTCCGGTTCGGCAGTCTCGGCCATGGCACATGTCCAGTGGCCCTCCGGGGTCGCAGACTTGCAGCCTCGTAGATGTCGCTGCAGCGTGCTCCGCCGCGCTGAGCCGATGTTCATCCAGATCTGCTTCAAGACCGGATCTGAAGGACACATATGGGAGAATAGAGGAAAGAAATCCTTGCAAGACCCTTCGGATTGACTTCTGTTCCTGTCTTGGAGGAGCTCCGTCCGAATTGTGCACCCACAGATGCCCACAGCCGTTTCTACGATATCGCGTTTTCCGTGGCCAACATCAACCTTGAGTCCTTCGATGCTCAGGGCTTGGCCAACCTCGCCTGGGCAGCGGCCGTGCTAAGTAGCTCAAGCCGCACCCGACCTCTTCTGGCAGGCATTCGAAGTGCAGTTTCCAGGCAGCAAGCGAACCTTGCAAGCCGCTAGTTCAACATGAGACAGTCATCTAGCAGCTGCTGTTGCCAACAAGGCTGGAGCTGTAGCACGACGTGCGTCGACTGTCAGCCGCGTTTCAGAGGCCAGGACGCTGGCATGTTCCCTGCTAGCGTTGACGTGGGCGTTGAGCTTCTCGAAAGAGTTGGATTCTGAGCTGGAACGCGGCATTGTGCAAGCTGTCCGCCTGCTGGCTGGGGTCTTGGACACTGCAGTCGACAACCTGGCACCATTGCCATTGACACCGCAGTCTCGGGGGTTGACCTTCGACTGTATCACCAAGCCTCGGGTCATCATCGACGGCCCGGGAATGCTAGTCGCACTGAAGCCCCCAGGATGGGAGGTGGACACAACGGCGGACCAGACGGAAGCTCACTGTCTCTCCTGGCACCTGCAAGCAATCCGGCGACGGGAGGACGCGGCAAGCTTTACATGTTGAAAATGCTCGCTGTGTTTGCTTTCAAGCGTTGGTAAAGACTGTTGCATGCGAGAGGACTGCCCAGTGTTACACTGTGCAAGCTATGGGTTTGGCTTCATCCATCGCTTGGATGTCGCCAGTTCCGGGCTAGTCCTGGCAGCGACTACTTTCGAAGGCCTGCTTTGGCTGCACCTTGGCCAAAGGCATCTCAAGCATAACTGCACCAGACCGAGCGAAACACATCCCATCCAGCTATCGACCTGCAGGCAATTTCAGAAGGCAGTCAATCGCATCGATCGTCACTTGGCACTTTCCATTATCTCGAGCTGTGTCTCTTTTGTCCTGCTTTTACGGTGTCTGCAAGTGTCTCAGGAGAGTATATTGTCCTTTGCTATGGGTTGGACCCCCAGCCAGAACACGTGATCGATGCGGATGTCACCGTCCGAGGATGGCTAAAGGCTTCCAGGACTGCCATCACTCTCTTGACGGAAAGATTGGCCGAGATTCATTGGAAAGTCGGCAAGGAGGCACTCAGGTAGTCATCCTCCCAGGACACTGACCGAGGATGCCGGCCTACCAGCAGAATCCAGGCTGCGGTCAATCGCACATTTGCGTCATCCTGCCTTTGGTGGCTTCTTGGCTGTCCATGAACTTGCTGAACCCTCAGAGGAAACAGGCGCCCTCCGTGGTCACCATGCCCTGAATCTCTGCCAAGGACTATCTGCCATTAGCATCCAAATCTTCACAGGAAGGCGGCACCAGATTCGCGCTCACACTCGGTGGATGAGGTCAGAGCATTCAGCAAAGCCTGACTTGTGTCATCTTGTGTCGAACGGGACTGCCTACATGAGTATTCACCTTGAGGCACCCGACAGTGTGTGATTCCTGGTATTCCCCCAGCGATGTGCTGCTGGTCGAACGCGATATGCTCGGCCCGGCACCCATGAGAGCCTGGGTGCGCACTCCCAGGCACGTTTGAGAGAAGGAGTGCTGTCGAGTCTAGTCTACGTTTGCTCCTTGTTGTCGACCCATGCACAGGTGGGACGGTGAGCTCACTGCACCACCTGAGGATGAACTGTGGGCTTTTGCAGGGCAACCAGCCGTGGTTTGGATGCCTTTCGTTTGTTTGGATTGACTTGGTGCAGGAGATGCGCAGCAGATGCAGCTGGCCCGAGCTGGCATAAACTGCACCGCCTTTTGAAACGACTGTCTCCGAAAAAGGATTTGCTTTCGTAGCACGATGTCTTTCTTTCGACGAAGAACTGGTCGCATACATAGATGGAGCACAGTCGGCAAATCATGGGATAGATATGCTATGTGATATATGTCTTCCGAGGCGTGCGCCCCCAAGACAACTACCGCAGGCAAGACTGTCACTCCTGTCAGAGCGCGGAGAATGGGCAGAAAGTAGGTCTTACGCAGGTGGACCAGCGTCGTCAAATGCAGGCTGCGCAGGTTTGCAGCTGGCTGGATGCTGAGGGCGGCCGGCCCTGGCACACGTCTGGGACCAGACTCGGACAATGCCAGTTCTGGTGTTTCCAGGCTGGAGCCAGCCATGTTGTCCCATTTCCTCCCACTAGCCGGCCGCCGGTTCCTTACTTGCTCTTCCTGCCAAGTTCGCTTACACATAAAAAAAAAAATATATATATATATATATATATGTATAAACACACACACGAAAGCATCCATCGATAATGCATTTGCGGTCGGTCCCTCTCTCTCTCTCTCTCTCTCTCGCTCTCTCTTCTCTCGTTGCTCCTCATTTCCTCTCCCATCCTATCCCAAACCCAAGGCGACCGCATCAATCGCACAGAGTTCGACCGAGTGGCTGGATCCCGAGCGTATCATTACGTCATACGGAACGAGTCAGGAGCTGCCTTTGCTGTGGCATGACAGCTCTGCAGCCTGCAAGTTTGAGAGTCGAAATCCCTGCCTGCCGGAATCAAGCATGCATCTGAAGCTCCGCGTGCAACTGCCATACATGCTGACGCTGTCCTGCTCCGAGCCCAAAGCCGCGAACAGAATCCAAAGCTCCAGGGAGCCGAACGCAAGATGAAACAAGTTTCGCAGAACCTTCCGAGCCGAACTAGGTCTTGGTTGTTTGTGTTGGGTCTAGGCGAGTTGGCTCGTGAAGGTGGCTGTCAAATGGATATTACCTAAGCTTGCACACTTGCTGTTTTCTTGTCTCTATCCTACTTGACAGGGAGCTTCAAGGTGAACCTACTTTGTTGCGTCTGTTAACGTTCCTTGAAGACAGTATCGTGGTGGACCTTGCCAGGCTTGTCCGAGTGTGAGTGTCAAAAAAAACACAGGATCCTGAAGCCTGAACCCACAGCCCTGGACAGCTTGAACTGCTGGCCCTACGAAGCCGCAGGTCCTCACATTAGAGCCACAGCTGGCGGCCCCAGAAGTGGAGCGGCTATGGAGGCGTGGATAAGATCAGAGTTGAGGTTTTGGCAAGTGTGCTCCATCGGTTACTTACGATCTTGGCTTCAGCTGGCGCCCAGCCACCGTCCACGCAAAAAAATCCCACGAGACCTGCCGTGCTTGCTGTGGCTTGCGATGCGGGAGACAGAACATGCGACAGACCCCACCTCTGGTGTCTCTACAGACCTGCATTTTGATTGTTTCTGAATGTTTCTGACACATCCCGTTGCTGTTCTTGTCGGCTTTTACCTGTCGGGCTTCTACACTGACTGCAAAGAATTTCAGAACGTTGCCATGCCGACAATCGTGTTGACAGCATTGTCATGCTATCAACAACACACAACCACCCAGTCAGGAAAGGTTCCGAAAGCCGTGGACCCCAACATGGTACTTCGATGCAGCGAGTTGAAGGATGCTGAAGCTGCCGTCAACATGAGTCCGGTCCAGCCGCAAACCCAATTACCGCACCGACCCCCATGCCCCAAAGCAGCACCTGCCCCCATCTCCTTCGATATAGTGTTGCGAGTTCAGCCTTTTCCCACCGGATGGCAGGACACACATGGACAGTGCATACTCGTACAGCAGCTCCTGCCACAGACAAGTCCAGGCTCCACGGGCCAGCACCAGAGATGAGCTTGGCGGAGCTGATACATCTCAACCCTGCGCCGAAGGACCCAGGAGTACTACACGTAGCTGTTTCAGCGTTGGGCTCATGATTCTTATCGCCCTGTCACGCTCGGGATGTTTCCTGATGCTTACCGGCTTACCGAGCTAGTGATCCTACGTGTTACTTTTCCTTCCTATTCAGATTATTGGCTTTCTTGGTGCTTCTCCGTGCTTGGCATCGGCATTACTTGTAATTGTGGTATCTGTTCCTGAAAAGAGTGTGGAGGAGGGCTCCATCCGAAGGGAGCTGAGTTTTCGGGATCAGTGGACTTGTTGAGATCTCCGAGGTCCGGGGCCGACGGCTGGGCGGAAGCCGCACTTCGCCGGGTCGCCTTTGCCTCAGAGCTTTGGGGTGAGCGAGCGAAGCCTGGCGATGGCGAAGTTGCAAGGCGCGGCGACTTGCTCCGGCCCTGAACATCCCGCCCGACACGTTCCGACGGCCACAGCTCCCGGCATACTGGAGTGAGTTACTTCAATACTGGAAGAGAGAGGACGACACGGCCCTCCAAGCGAGGTTCAACTTGGCCAACATCACAGGGCTGTCCTACGCTGAGTTCGAAGGCTTACTTGTGGCGCAGGCTGGGCATGCATCTTGAATCCTAGAGGGTGCAAGATGATTAGCTTCTCCAGCTTCTTGCCTACGGCTCAGCTCACACGGCAAGGATTCACGCATGACCCGCGAAGATGTGATAGCCTTGTGGCGACTGGCCGACGCAGAGGGTCGGGGTCCAGGAAAATCGTGGGACCCAGATGCGCAGAGCTCTCGTGGCCTGCCCAAGGAAGTGGAAGGGTTGACCTGGGTCAAGTCGTGTCCGTGCTTCGACGAGCACAACTCGAGGCCTGGGAGCATTCAAAATCTCTTGTCGCAGAACCCAGAGACTCCATTATCCCTTAATTGAGGAATATACCTTAAATCATATTATAACCCTTAATTAAGGGATATTGGAGTCTCTGGGAACCACTCACCAGCTGCACCTGCACCTGCCAGGGCCTCACACAGGGCAGGCCACTGCCACAGCCACCTGCAAGCCCTGCTGATCGCGACATGATCTTGGAGGCCTAGCTTCCTGCGAAAAAGATGCATTCGTGGTCTTCGACCATTTTTTCTTCTTTCAAGGCGCATGTGGCGCAGATCGACCGCAGTTTTAGGAACCGGGGCGCTCGGCTCTCGGTCTCAGATTCCACACTTCCCTGAACATGGAGAGTCAGAGGGCACAGAGAAGCCTAGCCGGGCCTGGCCTGGACGTGAACTGCACTAGACACACTTTTCTTGGTGCTTCGCCGAAGCGAGATCCGTCTTCGTTTGGCTTCAAGCTGCATTTAACTACAACTCACAGGCTAGACGACGCTGCAGACAGCAGCATTCTTGCTCTGCTGCCATAGCCTGATTAAACCAAGTCGAATCATCGGTCACTGCACGTTGTGCCGCCTAGATCTTCAGGCATGGCATACGCATTCAATCATCCGCGCATGGTTCCTCCTGGGTCCACCAGGAACAAGACCTGTGTTGCCCTGGAAGCAGCACTCCTTGTGGTGGATGTACAAGAGTATTGCAGTCGACCAGGGAAGGGCGTTTTCCATGATACAAAGCGCTCAGACATGCCGTATTTTTTCGACCGTGTCGACACGGTGATGGTGCCAAACATCTCCAAGCTTCTTCACGTGGCACGCAGGTCTGGTGTGGAGGTTGTTTACACCGTCATCGAATCACTTACTGCTGACGGGAGAGATGCTTCTCTAGACTACAAGCTCAGTGGACCCTTGCACGTCCCGAAGGGTCATCCAGATGCGGCTGTACTACCAGCGTTGAAACCTCGGGTGGATGACATCATCCTGCCGAAGACATCTTGTTCGGTTTTCTGCTCGACCAACATCGCCTACGTGTTGCGTAATTTGGGCACACGATACTTGATCATCTGTGGGCAGCTGACGAACCAGTGCGTCGAGTCCGCCGTCCGTGATGCCGCAGATCTGGGCTTTCTAGTCACCGTTCCCGAAGATGCGTGTGCTGCAAAATCTGAAAGTGATCATGCAGCCGGTCTCCACAACATGAAAGGCTTTGCACGGATCGTTTCCAGCGAGGCCCTTCAAGCTGAACTTTCGGGACAGGCGACGATTCCATGCAAGATTTCCTCGAATAAGAAATGTGTGTGCTACTTGAATGTAGCTTACGATGAGGCATATGGAAAGCACGTGCCAGAAATGGTGCTGGAAATGTTTGGAGATGCCGGTGCTGAGCCTTTCGAGCTCCACAATTGTAAGATCGCAGAAAACCAGTTCCCAAGCAGGCTGGATTCCTACAGCGGCTTCTTGATCATGGGAAGCATCTCCTCGGCGGCCTGTGGCGCAAAGAACGAGCCGTGGCTTGGCTCTCTGAGCGTTTTCCTGCGGAGGCTCTGTGAAGAGGAGCGCCCTTTAGCCGGAGTTTGCTTCGGACATCAGGCCATTGTCAGAGCACTGGGTGGGACGGTCGTTGTGAATCCAGCAGGCACCAAATCGGGACTACAAACATATCCTTTAACCGATGCTGCCCGAGCCAGTCTTGACTTGCCTAGTGACCAAGAAACCATCCAGTTGTTTTGCCATCATGCGGACACTGCTGTGGTTCTGCCAAGCCACGCGGCAAGCTGGGGATATTGCACTGGTGGGCACTGGGGTATGACATATGGCAATTGCCTCACCACACAAACCCACCCCGAGTTCTCAACGAAATCTGGCTTGGGGTCGCTGCGGACAATTCTTGAGAATGATCGCCGGGGCAGGAAGGGTTCAGTCACGTCTTTGCTTGAACCAAGCGAAGAGGAAATCGATCGGCAGATCGGCCTTCTTGGCAGTGAAACAGGATACAAGGCGCTGGCTGTGGCCTTTGCCCGCCTTTTCCATTTGCTGCCTAGCCTCAAGCGGTCCCACCAAGGGGCGTGATGCCTGATCTTCTGCGGACAGCTGAACCGATGGGAAAAGAAGTCAGGACTCGGAGCATGGACAGGGAGCTTCGGCTGCCGTGCAGTAGGGATGGAGTTGCAAAGGTCAGCCTTCTTCAAGCCTGTGCCATGTCCTGCTCTCAGTGCTACACATTCACCACGCCCTAATCCTAATGGCAAGTCAAACCGCACGAGCCTTCTGCAGCGGTGTCCCGAGTGTAGAAGAGACTCAGCAGACCAAAGCCCGCGAGGATGGATTTGGGCCGCTCCGGCTTTCTCGACCGCAGCGGGCCAGAGCCCTCATAAGTTGATCGCAGTGGTTTTGTGCCGAGATGCGAACAGAGTCCTTCCAGAACATAGTCTCACATACATGCCCGTTCCGCTTGGTTCTATTCCATGTATTGCGCGAGCTCAGATAGGTGTCCGTCCTTGTGCTGTTTAGCGTGCTGCCAATCGTTGCAAGTGCGATGCCGGACAACTGGTGGCACATGCAGCTATGAACTCTGGAAGGGCAAAGATGCAAACTGAGACGACATCGTACTATCCCGACACCCGTTCTTTTTCGGGTTGCCTGTGAAACTAACACCACGGCAGATCAAGTCGCAAGCCCATCCTCAGCCTGTAATGAATTTCCGAGCCGCCCCAAGTTTAGAAACTCTTGTGTCCCAGGCTGCGTCGCCTGCTGACAGCGTCCGGCGTGGACATGGCATCCGGGCTTCAACAACGGTCAAACTCTGCCAGCTGCAGTGTCTTGCCACAAACTGATGCCAGGCAGACTGGGAGCAGGACGACCTAATACTGCGCTGCGACACGACGCAAAGGGGAATGTTCGGCTCCCGACACGGCTGCAAAGCACTCTGGCTGTTGCTGCTACGGGCTCTGCCTTCAAGCTCATTATGCTATTGCACGTACTGTAGCAACCCATGGCTCAAGGCAGGTTTCCAGTCGTGCTACTGGGAAACCGAGGGCTTGCATCCTAGGTGTTCAAACTGTACCGCTGGCTGCTCACAGCTTCTGAATGCTTAAGGAAACATGACATGACGAACCTGAGAGAAACATGCTAGAGTTAGAGGAATCGTTCAGGTGCTGATAGTAACCAGCGGTACATGCGCGCCGCTTGAGCTAGCTTCTTTGCCCCGGGGACATGTCTGACAGCAATGGTGTCATGGTTTGTAACATCAGGGGTGGATGGCTCAGAGAGTTTAAATGTCGTTCCACTGCAGGACTCGCCGATTGCCAAGGGGCACATCACGTGAAAGGGCTTGACTTGATGATGCCCGTGGAGTCAGAGTAAAGCTAGGGTAGTTAGTTTATTCTGCCATCTTACACTTAGGTGGCAGCAACTCCGTCATGCGTTCCATGGGCGAGATGCTCTCAAAGCTTCGGACCTCGTGCCTCGCAACCAGTACTGTAGTTTGCTTGGTGGCAGGCTTTGGTTGTCAATGTTGGAGCATGGGTGGCCCGGCTCACATGCTGCATCCAGGTCGGCGCTGCCACGATCCCAAACTCGCACCTCATCTGGCAATGAGTGCTGCCATTTGGTGCCAGCGTTGAGATTCCCAAGTCACATGGTGGGTGGCCCACGAGCATTACAGCAGCACTATTGCCTCTGCAATCAACAGCTGGCTTCGTTGGCAGTTGGCACCGAAGTTGTTAATCGCACCCGTTCATTCCCACCTGTTCGCATGCAAACTTCATCTTCTGCCGAAAACAAGACACCTCCCACCGAACTGACTCAGCTTAAGCTCCTCCAGAGTAACCAGTACTGTCAGCTTTCCGAAGTTACCGGCCCTCCCACTTGGCTGCAAGGGCCGGCGCGCTTCTCCGGAGGGACTCGGACCCGCTCTGGCAGCCGAAGCCTGGCAAAGAGCAATTCCCCACATTACTCCTAGCGGGGGGCTTAGGACTTTGAGGGTTTACCTATGGTCTCCATTGTAGTTCCTTTTTGGGGTTACCTTTTAGGATCCTTAACCCATTATTGTTTGCAAGTATTTCACTGGCTGGTTGTGGGGTTTTGGTTTTAAGATTGGGGTGTCCGGAGACTGAGCCATCGCTTCGAACGGTGTTAGACTAGAGTAGGAGCTCCATGGTGGAAACTCCAACTCGCACATCGCCTGTCGGTGCTCAGGAAGTGATTTTCTGCTTATTGGTCAGAGGTAGCAGCAGCCGAGACTCCTGGCCGAGTCTTGGACTTCCCTTCCCTGGAGCTCTTTTCCCTGTGGAGCTGGCATGCCAAATGCTGAGGAGTGGTATCAAAGCAGCCTCCAGGCTGTTTGGTAACCGAAGAGATTCTCTTGCAAGATCATTGATAGCGGCTCTGCAGCGGACGACAACCAGTGCACCGTGGATATCCTTGGATGGTTTCGGTACACCTGGCCGTTCGCAGTTTTGGGGTCGTTTTGCGTGCAGGCTCTGGAAAGCTCAGGCGCCACGCACCGCAGCTGTCATCCTCTTCGAGGGTGGCCGGCGCTTTAAGGATCTGACATGGTGGATATTGGGCCCAGAGTTTCTCACTGACATTACCGCCTCGCAGCTGCACTAATCCGAGCATCTAAATAGTAAGGGGGGCCTCCCCCCTCCCCCCAGAATAAGGATCGCGGGAACTGCATTAATGGAATCTCTGTGGGCTCTTTCAAAAGTAATAGCAATGCCTTGAATCTCCAGCCGGGCCCGGTTCGGAGTCTTGCGATAAATGTGGTCCCTTTTATAAATCTGCTTCGGGCTACTGCCCTGCATGCAAACTCCAGAGGAGTGACAGCATTCCCTTTGACATGTCATGTGCAGCTTTCGACATGTGAAAAAACCCACGTGTACATTTCTCCTCCGGCTCTGGCTGTTTCTCTCAAAACAGGGAACCCTTTTGCCGTTGATGGCCTTTCAAAGGCCACGGATGCTACGCGTTGAGCTGTGCGGCTCGCGAAGGAAACAGTTGCCTTTCGGTGCAGAGACGTTGCGCTACCGGGCAATCGTGTTTGGGATAGCTCTTCTAGGAGCTACCTTGCTACCAGCATTGGTAGCGGAGCCTTCCCCGAAAGGGGACGAGGCTCGTGTGAGAAAGGAGTGCTTGCGAAGATCCAGGGCAACCGTGTGCTCGACTCCGATTTTCCTCGAGGACGTGATGGAACGCCGTGACCGAGATCCTGTTCCTACGTGGGACGGGGAGGCTGCCGGGTGGAACACCTATGTGAGAAGGGTGCGACTCTACTGGGAGCGGACGGCTCCAAAGAAGAGGCGCTTGATAGGCGCAGAGCTGGCAAGCCGTCTTTCCGGGCGAGCTTGGGACGTCAGCGGCGACCTTGATCACGATCGCCTTCAACAACGGGACGGGGCGACTTACCTTCTTGACTTCTTGGAGTCGCGCCTGGGACGCAGCCCGGTCCCCGACTTGGGCAGCCGTCTTGAGGACTTTCTGGTGAGACTGCGCCGCCAACCCGGATCCCGGATGGTGCAATGGGCTACGGAGCTAAGGGAGTGCTACAGAAGACTTCAGCGTGCCCTTGCCAGGGCCCGTGGGAGCTCGCGCCGACCCGTGGCAGGACCATCGGCCAAGACTCCCAGCCCATCACCGAAGTCGTCCGCCGGGACTGGCTTGCCAATCGAGCGCAGGCGCAGCGACACCACAGGCGAACCGGAACCCCAAGACGATGCCGATGTCCATCCGGGAGACCGAGAAGATGAACACCCACCCGTCGCCGACGAGAGGAGCGAGCGTGGAACTGCTGGCTGGACGGCGGCTGAGTGGGAAGACTGGTGGAATGGCCAGGGGCAAGGCTGGGACTCTCCTGCCCGGCGTCGCTTTGGCCGTTGCTGGCGTCAGGAAGACAGTGACGACGAGGAAGGTCCTCAGCCTGAGTGGGAGAAGTTCCAGCTTGAGGAGATCGATGCTCTTCCTCCCGAGGTGCTTGGCTGGATCCTTCTTCGCCGCGCCCACCTGCCATCTCATGCCCGGCTGGCGGTCCTTGCTGCTACGAATAACCGCCTCGACCTCGACCTCGTGGAGAAGGCTTTGCGCGACCAAGAAGAGGATCTTCTCCAGGCCGAGGAGCGGAGAGGACCTAAGAGGACCTACTGGGTTGAGCAAGAGGGCTCGTGGGGCCTTCTCCTGGACGAGCCGAGCGGCGAAGACAGCCAGGGCAACGTGCACTGGGTAGGCCCCCGTCTTCCTGAAGAAGTCCACCCTGTCTTTGCTGCGGAAGAGGAGCCTGAGACGTGGTGCACCATGCATGGCGAAGCCGAGGTGCACTGGACCTACCAGGAGGGCGACTGGTGGACCGAAGATCCTGAAGGGGTCTGGTGGAACTGGTCCGATGCCAAACCCTGGTTTGATGTGAACGAGGCCATGGTTCTCGACCCGGCCGCCGGCAAGGAGTTGCAGGAGGCCTTGACCGTCTACCAGGACAAGGTTCGCACCTTCAAGGAGTCCCGGCAGCTGGTGGCGGCACGCAACACGGCTCGCGGATTCTACCCTTTGTCTGGAAAAGGGAAGCAGAAGGGCAAGGCAAAGGGCAAGGGATCCTTCAGTCCCAAGGGCAAAGGCAAGGGCAAGAAGGGACCGCCGTCCTCGGCTACTACCTCGGTGGCTTTGGCGGCCGAGGGGCCGCAGCGCCCAGGGGCTGCTTCGTACACCGGATGCTTTATCTGCGGATCTAAGGACCACGACTTCCGCAGGTGTCCGAAGCGCAGTTCTGGAAAAGGGGCAGCCACAGCCCATGTTCTCAGCGACGGCCCGTGGTCCGAGGCCCCCACCTACATGGTTCAGGACGCTGCTGCCGAGACCGACCAGCACGAGCCGAGTCCCGAACCCCAGGAGAACCAGATCTACGTCGTGCAGGCAGAGAGCCGGGAGCCCGAAGACACCGTGGAAGAGCCGGAGCACGAGGAGCCCCTATGCTTCATGCATGTTGTCTCCGGCGGCCCTGCTGACGAGGCGGTCTTCGGCAACTTGCAGGTGGAGGCCGCTATGTCTGTGGCTGGGCAGCTTCACCCCGGCTATGCAGTGAT